CCTGAGGACGGCTGCTTGCGTTGTGGCCAAAACGTCGTGAGAATTATTTTATTATGTTTAATTTTTATTTTATTATTTTATTATTTCCATTCTACGTGACTTTACCGAAAGAACCAAGAAGATGATTCCCTGCAGTCACGAAAGCTTTAAATCGAAATTTAAATCGGTTCAGATTCATCATCACCGGCGTTGGCCGCGAGCGGGAATCGAACTCTGGTCGCCGGGTTCCACACACACGCACACACACTCGCGCACACCAACGTCACACCGCACCTACCCGCGCACCTGTGAATGCCGGCGCGGCGCACAAGATAGGGTGGTGCGTGGGCGGCCGCCTTTTGTAATTCCGGCTGGTGATAGTCCCCAGGCGCCTGGCATAAAAACAATGGGGGGTGGGGGGGGGCGTGGGATTGGCCAAGAAGTGGCTCGCCTTCTGAAAGAGATGTCTTGGGGCGGAAGGACTTGAAGATCCGAATCGAACCGGATTCCTTTACACATCACTTGGCGAGGGTGTTAATTACCTCGCCTGGTATGCAGGAGGTCGTCGGTTCGATCCAGACCCTGACGCCTGTTGTGATTATTGAATGTTGTGGGTTTACTCTCCAGCACACCGGTGTGCTGTACAAACCTGACTAGTTGGCTGTGTCGGGTGGTGGCGGGTTTAACGACATATTTATATTTACGGGATCTAACACCAAACACCTGATGTATATTTGGAGTTTGCGTGTCTGTCTCTCTTTCGACGTGGTATCATGGATTTTCCCGCAGGGTCCTCCGGTTTCTCCCTCCACATTTAGAATACAACGTGTGCTTACAGAGTATTGAGCTGCTGTACATTTCCACGTGATAAGCCACTTCATTGAGATATCATTTGTGATGGCCAGGTCCATTCTGAGAAAGAGCTGCATAGCTCCGGTGGGTCTTCTTTACCTGGTAAAATAAAAGAAAATAGTTGGCTATTATCAAGACAAATGACAAAATAGCCGAGCGTTGTGTCTGTCTAAACGCACGCGGTCTTCACACAACCCACGGGAGAGGACCGCTCAAGCCATCGTGTGCTGTTCATCTGTAACGGCCGAATGTCTGTGAAAAAGAAAGAGCTTTGTAGCTCATCGGATTCCTCCAGCAGGCCACGGTAGCTCAGTGGGCCTTACCTGGTAATTTTTTTTTATAAGAATAGGTTTGATCCTTTCTGGCAAAAAAAACAGTTGTGTTAAGATGTCGGAGCATGCTTTTGTGTTTGCATGTTCACCACAAGTATATGTGGTTAATGCAGACATGATTCCTCGCAGAAAGGCTTCAGTTCGGTGTTTTAACATCTTAACAAAACTGTTTAATTTGCCAGAAAGGGTAAAACCTATTCTTATATTTTGATACTGGCAAGGGAGGTCCCATGGTATAGTTTTTTTTTAGTTTAGAAGTTTTCTTCCAGTCCAGGTGTGTCACGGAATGGAAGGCCCAGAGATTGCCGAGTGCTGATGTTTATTTTCTAACACACCGCACCAGGTACTCGTTTTTAAAGCTGAATCGACCTAGGGAAGGGCGGGGGTTCCCGGGAACAGGTGCAGATGATCATCACTGCGGTTGGTGGCCGTGAGTGGGGATGGAATTTGGGTCGCTGGGCTCGTTCGAAGCACAGCGCGCTAACCGCTGCACCACCACTCGCTCCCCCCCCCCCCCCCCCCCCCCCCCACGATCGAAGCGCACAAAGACAATGATCCTCTGTGCAGACTTTTGGGTGCAAGTGCTGTGACCGAGCACCTGCCAAGCACACCCACCCACACGCGCACACCATGGCCAGGCATGCACACACACACACACACACGTACGTACTCCCCTGCACTTAAAAACCCAGGTGAGACGGAGAGCGAGCGAGGTTAGAGAGAGAGAGAGAGTTAGAGAGAGAGTTCAAAGTGTTTGAAGAGGCAGCGTCCGGGCGTCCCCCATTGGCACGGCTCCACAAGCCCAAGTCCTGTGGAGGTTCTTTGTGTTGTGCGAAAAAAAAAAACCGACAGAGCGAGAGAAAAACATTCTTTCCAAAGAAAGGCTTCCGTTGTGAACGCGGGGAGACATCGCCTCAATAGGGCAGCAAGCAAGCAAGCAAGCGGCGCGCGTACCACGCCCGGATTTCGCTGAGCGGCCTACACAGAAGAAAATAAATACAACTGAAGGGTTGAATGAGAGCGAGCGAGAGTGGAAGCGCATTAGGCGCATGACGGAGATTGAATTCCGATCGGCGCAATCGCTTCGCAACGGCAACGAGAGTGGAGGGTGAGCCGGTGACGGGGGCGGGGGGGGGAGGCAATTTGGTGAAGCACTTGGGGGCTGTGGGGGGCTGCAGCGCTAAGCCGGTCCGTTACCTCCCCACCCAAACTCAACTTGCTATCCTCCCCCTCCACCACAATCTCCTCCACTCCACAAGTGGAACTCGCCGCCGTCGCGAGCAGCTGACCGCGGCGAATGCCGTTACATCCCCCGCACTGCCAGAGTCCCTCCCACTTCCACTTGTGTGGATTATTATATTTTTGTTTTAACAAACAAAACAACTGTCGAAATGAGTGGCGGTGAAATGCGGTAAATAGCCCGGCGGTGGCGGTCACGCTAAACCACGTGGCATCGGCACGGTGGCTAGGAGATGTTAACGACCTCGCCTGGTGATCCAGGAGTGCATGGGTTCGATCCCGACCCTTGACGCCTGCTGCTGTATATTTGGAGTTTGCATGTCTCTCTCTACCCATGGTGGCGTGGATTTTGCTCCAGGTCCTCTGGTTTTTCCTCTGCACATTTAGAACCCACAACACGCGTCTGGACGATTTGCCTGCTTTACATTTCCACGTGATGATAAGCCACATTATTGAGCTTTCATTTGTCGCCAGGTAAGGTGCGTAAGCCTTACCCAGTAAAATGAAAAATGTAGTTTTTAGTTTAGTTTTCAAATCTAGCCAGACTGTGGAGGCGGCAGCAGCAGCAGCGTGTGTTGGTGGATCGCAGCACGAATGCCGTGTTGCGAAGACGAGGAGGAGGAGCCGTGTGTACCCTGGTTCGTCAGGTGAAGGCGGCGCAGCAAAAACGTGGACTTGCGACTGTTCCGTCGGTATGGGATAGAGCGTTTCCCCCTTGCACGCGTGGGTTTTCTCCCCGTGCTCCGGTTTCACCTTCATGTATGTATATAGAGGAAGGCAGAGCTTGGGGGAGGGGTTGGCGGGGGAGATTGACGCCGGCTTCTCACCGCACGGCTGCTGCTTCCTCCCCACTCGTCTGTGGTTCCTCCCCCTGGCCCCTCCAAGTCGTCCCTTCTCTCCGAGTCGTCCCTTCTCTCAGAGTCGTCCTCCCTCGCCCTCTCCGAGAGCGAGCGAACTGCGTCACCAAAGATTACACGTTTATTTTTTCCGGTTTCTCCAAAGTCTGTGATTTTAATTCTACGTTGCGTTCCAGGTAGCAGTCGGTATTACAATCACAAACTGTAATCCCCACCACCTCCTTGTGCGTGTGTGGCATGATGCTTGCCACACACCCCCTTCGTGTGCCGTGCCGGCCTTCGTAGGTGCTGCTCGCTAACAGCACTTGCCCCAACAGTCTGTTAAAGGCTATACGGGGGATCTCTATCTTTTGGTCGTCGGGGTGGTATAATTCAAGGTTATTTATTTATTTGTTTCGGTAAATGTGTGGCTCCGTTCTGGCAGAAATCTGCCACCCAGAGCGCCATTACATCATTCCACATCAAAATTAACAATTCCTATACAGTTTACAGAAGCATAACAAGCAATTGGTGGATGTCAGTTAGTTGTACCTACGGGTCGGACACAAAGATATAGTCACACTTCTAGGTGGTGGGGGGGGGGGGGGATTAGCATATAATGCGCTATTTACATAGCTATATTTTAATCGTTCTTGCCTGCTTTGCTTTCGGTGTTCGGTGAACGTGCCGGAGGTTTTTACGACGCCGGATGAGCCACCCCCGTTGTTTCTCGCGTGGCGTTTGGCGTCGATTCTACTGAGCGGGGATCCGTCGCCTCTGACTTTCTGCCTCCCAAAAGGAGCGGCGTTGAGGTGCCGGTCGCAGCGAGTCGGTGGGGGGGGGGGGGCAAGGGCGGGGTCGTGGGGTCGCGGTGTTCTGTATCACCGGCCTCTGTATAGGACAAACGTCGCGTCCGAAACAAGCATTCGACATTGGGGGCCTCACATTACTAAACTAAGCAATTTTTTTTATTTTACCAGGTAAGGCCCATTGAGCTGTATAGCTTTTATTTCAGAAGCGATCTGGCCACAAATGACAGCTTGGCGAAGTGGCTCATCATTGTGCAGAAATTTAAAGCAGCCAAAAAAAGACTAAATGCACGTTGATTCTAATTGTGGACGGGAAAAACCGGAGGACTTGGATAAAAATCCATGCGACCATGGAGAGAGAACCTGCCAAACACCAAATACACAGCAGGCGTCAGGGTCGGGATCGAACCCACGACATCCTGCATACCAGGCGAGGAATTTAACATCTTGGCACCACGGCACCCTGTTAACAGAAAACACTCATCTTCTTGGTTCTTTCGGTAAAGTCACGTAGAAGGAAAATAATAAAATAATAAAAATAAAAATAATAATAATATAATTCTCACGACGTTTCGGCCACAACGCAAGCAGCCGTCTTCAGGTGGAGAACAGGTCTGTCGAGAAGGCAGAAACGTCGTGAGAATTATTTTATTATGTTTTTATTATTTTATTATTTTCCTTCTACGTGACTTTACCGAAAGAACCAAGAAGATGAATCCCTGCAGTCACGAAAGCTTTAAATCGAAAAGAAAACACTCAATGTATTTCCTTGGCTAGATACCATTAAAGTACCAATTGTAGGGGTCTCAAGGCGGATGGGAAATCGTTCGAATCGCCCTTTGAGGCTTGGCCTGTTGCTCGGAGCGAGGGAAAGGGTTCCTCTCCACGTGCCCGTTGCCCGCTGATGACCTCTGCGGTTGTCTCCCTGTGCGTGCACGCGTGTGTCTCCGCAGCACCACCGTGGCCATTCCCATGATCCCGCTGGGTCTCAAGGAGACGGAGGAAATCGACTTCACGACTGAAATACAGGTACGTCGCAGTCACCGTCTGCAGCTTGCGCTCGGAAGGTTAAAAGTTCAAATCCTGGGTGGGGGTGGGGTGGGAGTCAACTCAGCCCATCATCGTCATGATCATCATCATCCCTCCAGGGATGAGAAACTGAACGCCCCTTTGCGGGAGAAGTCATGAGTATGGTTGCCCTATGGATAGACTTGCCCCCTGCAATAGGAATGTGGAATTTCAACCACTGGCCTCTGCAGGGCTGTACATGGGAGATGAGGGGCTCACGCGACAATGCTCACTTTGCTCGTGGATTGCGTAACCTAACCTGCTCCCGATCATAAACTATAAAAACTATTTTAAAACTACTATAAACTATTTGATTCTAAATGTGGAGGGACCAGGAGAAATAACCATACGACCGCGGGGAGAGAGACACTAAAACTCCAAATATACAGGCATCGTCAGGGTCGGGATCGAACCCACGACCTCCTGCATACCAGGTGAGGTAGCTAACATCTTCATCGTAATGCAGCACGGCGTTTGATCGCGCTTTTGTTTAAAAACAAAGCCGGCAATAAACTTTTACGGGTTTCAAAATCTTCGGGTGCACACCCCCGCGGAATGCGGACGTTACACGTTGTTGCAGCCCTTTATGGCGTTTGGCTTTAAACCGCTTCTGGGAAATAGAATCTGCCAAGTTTTTGTTTTGCTCATCCGGGTGGTGGGGGGGGGGGGCGCAGGCTTCTGCAGCCACTCTTTTTGAAATGTGCAAAATATTTTAAATTTAAGTTGAGTCGTGTCATCCGTTTTTTTCCCCCGTGGGTGGATTTTGTTGAGCCAGGTGAGAACGCGACAGACACCGCACATCTCTCGTCTCATTTGCAAGATTTGACCTTTGGGGGGAAGCGGGGGGGGGGGGGGATATCGGCCAAACAATGAGAGAAAATCTAAATTGAAGACAAAGCACAGCAATTCAGCAAATACATTTCGGAGCAAAAACAACGACTGCGTTGAACACGATTCGAATTAAGTAAAAAGTACAGAAGTCACCATGAAGCAGCCCCCCCCCCCCCCTCAACCATTCCTTCCTTAAAGCTTCACGTCTTCTCCACCCACAGACCCAACACTGCCCAGACTCAACACTGCCCACAGACTCAGCACTACCCACAGACCCAACACTGCCCACAGACTCAACACTGCCCACAGACCCAACACTGCCCACAGACCCAACACTGCCCACAGACTCAACACTGCCCACAGACCCAACACTGCCCACAGACTCAACACTGCCCACAGACTCAACACTGCCCACAGACCCAACACTGCCCACAGACCCAACACTGCCCACAGACCCAACACTGCCCACAGACCCAACACTGCCCACAGACCCAACACTGCCTACAGACCCAACACTGCCCACAGACCTAACACTGCCCACAGACCCAACACTGCCCATAGACCCAACACTGCCCATAGACTCAGCACTGTTCACAGACTCAGCACTGCCCACAGACTCAACACTGCACCATAGACTCAACACTGCCCACAGACTCAACACTGCTCACAGACCCAACACTGCCCACAGACCAAACCCGCCATCCCAACATGGGTTCCCAACCTGGGGTCCGAACCCAGCGACCCGGCTGGTGAAAAGTCGACCATTTGTCGATGCTACGATTGACACGATTCGTAGCCTCAGCATCCTTTGGCAAAAATTAATTTTTGTTGGCGCGCGGTGGTGACCCGCGGACATCTGCGGAGCGTCGTGGCAGCGAGCGCCGTTGGGAATCGCAGCGGCATTGGAACGCGCGTAACGTACGCGGCGGAGGACCTTGAGCGGCCGGGGGGGGGGGGGGCGGGGGGGGGCAGCTCTTGCGTGATCGTGCTGCAATGTCTTCTTGGTTCTTTCGGTAAAGTCACGAAGAATGGAAATAATAAAATAATAATAATAATACTAACAATAATAATAATAAAATAAAACATAATAAAATAATTCTCACGACGTTTCGGCCACAACGCAAGCAGCCGTCCTCAGGTGGAGAACAGGTCTGTCGAGAAGACAGTCTGAATGCTGCAATGCTTCGCTCGCTGCATTTTCTCGCTCTGCAGGAATTCATATGCGAGCACTACGGAGAGGATGGGTCCAAGTACCTGCCCGAAATAAAGGAATTCATGGCGCTGAGACAGGTGCGACGTGGCGTCACATCACACGCGCGCGCATCATACACACCGTCCGTAGCGCCCACATCTCGTTACGTGGCACCAATGCTGCCTCGCTCCCGTAGCGCACTCCAGCCACGTAAAAATGGCAAATCTGGGCGTTTGGCCGTTTCTTCGACGGCCCTGTTGTTGAGTGACCACCCCCCTGACCCCCGCAATGTGTCTGTGGCCCCCCCCCCCCCCCCGCATCCCTGCCTTAGGCTGCGCGCACTCCGACGCGGGACGAGGCCGGCCTGGGCCTGCTCATGGAGTACTGCTCGCAGCTGGCGGCGGCCGAGGCGCGCTTCTTCCCCCCGTATCGCAGGACGAAGATTCGCTTCACCTGGTGAGCGCTCGCCTATCCACTCGCCCACCTATGGGCCGTTGCGTCCAGTGGCGCGGTTTTCACCAGTGCGCGGCGGTGCCGGCGGTGGCGGCAGTCCTCCCATTTTGCCGTTGCTCACCGAATGTCTTGCGTGGGCAGCTGGGTTGTGGGGCTTCGTGGAAATGTGGGTGGCGGGGGGGTGGGCAGCGTTCAGATTCTTGGGTCTCCACTGCGTTGCGGAAAGAATTCCGCGCGATTTATCATTTCGCGGGAGCACGAGAGAGACGTTCGAGGCCCTCCCCTCTCTCTCTCTCTTTCTCTCACCCAAGCTCTTCCCAGAAATCTTGGGGAAGGTTATCTCACTGCTGTTTACATTAAAGCAACCCTGGCGGCGGCGGCGGTGGTGGTGGTGATGGGGCTGTACCCCACGCATTTATAAACAAACTTGACGGGAGATGGCCCCCGTGGCTCGGAGGTCAGAGGGCAAGAGCCAGAACCGTTGAGAATCCTGGGTTTGAATCCGGGTTTCAGCCACAGCCTATGGTTATGTTAAACCGGGTCTCTCAAGTGCGGTGAGTTGATCGTCTCAGCCCGGTTATAAATTCCTGAACGCTAAAAAATATACAATCGCATTGAATTTGGTTCTGCACTTGATTTGGTGAGATTCCAGCTGCCTGAGAATGAAAACATCGGTTTGACTCGTGACGAGCATTGCTCTCGCATGGCAGAGCGGGTGGGACAGTGCTTCCCTCCGCTGCGCGTGTGTGTGGACCAGAGGTCACTTGAAGAAGGGGATGTCAGAGGTGATATCCGCTTCCGCGGGCTGTCGTCTGAACACGTGACGATTGATCGCCGATATCGCGATCGGGATCAAACTGTCCGGAAGTTAACACTTGCAAACACCTCGTGGTTGGTTCACCTTTGCCGGTACGTGCATAGTCATCTCTCAGTGGATGTCCTGGCCCTGTCCGAGGAATGTGGAATGGCCAACTCTGCCCGCACGTCTCTGCACAAGTCACTGGTGATCAACTCTCTACGCTTGAGAACCTGGTTTAATCACAAGTCATTCTATGCGAGTCTGTAGATTTATACGTTAGCCAATGGGTCTCTATGTAAGGATGTGGGTCTCTACGCAAATTTTTTGGGTCTATAGATGTGTAATTCTATGGGTCTATGTGTATGTCTGTGAGTTTCTATGTAAGTCTTTGGGTTTCTATGTAAGTCTTTGGGTTGCTGTGTAAGTCTATGTGTCTCTGTATAAGTTCATGGGCCTCTGTGTAAGTATGTGGGGTTTTATGCAAGTCTATGGGTCTCTGTGTAAGTCTGTGGGTCTCTGTGTAAGTCTGTGGGTCTCTGTGTAAGTCACTGGTGACCGGCCTGAGACCAACTCTTTCCTCTCGAGAAACCCGACTTGTTCACGGTTGGGCCGCTACAACCCGGCCCCGTGTCCGTACCCCTGAGCTGCTGGACCACTTCCTGTGATCGTTGTCGTCATCGTCGCCACTGTCGTCATCGTAGTCGTTGTAGTCATTGCAGTCATCGTCGTCGTCGTCACCATAGTCATCGTCATCATCATCGTCCCCGTCGTGGTCATCATCGTCGCCAATGTTCCGATCGTAGTCGTCGTAATCATCTTCGCCGTGGTAGTCATCATTGTCTTCATCGTCGTCGCCACTGTTGTTATTGTAGTCATTGTAATCGTAGTCATTGCGATCGTCGTCGTCGTCGTAATCATCGCCGCCGTAATCATCGCCGCCGTGGTAGTCCTCATTGTCGCCATCATCATCATCATCATCGTTGTCTTCATCATCGTCGCCACTGTCGTTATCGTAGTCGTCCTAATCGTAGTCATTGCGATCGTCGTGGTCGTAATCATCGCCGTGGCTCTGCAGGTGCGACTCTCTGTCGGGGCTGCCCTGCGAGGACCGGGAGGCTGGGTTTGAGCGAGCGAGCGTGCTGCTTAACGTGGGAGCCCTCTACACGCAGATCGCCGCGCGATGCGACCGCACCGCGCTCGCCGGCATCGACAGCGCCATCGCCGCCTTCCAGCGCGCCGCCGGTACTCGCCTACCTGGTCACGCACTCGCCTACCTGGTCACGCACTCGCCTACCTGGTCACGCACTCGCCTACCTGGTCACGCACTCTCCTACCTGGTCACGCACTCGCCTACCTGGTCACGCACTCGCCTACCTGGTCACGCACTCGCCTACCTGGTCACGCACTCGCCTACCTGGTCGCGCACTCGCCTACCTAGTCGCATACTCGCCTACCTAGTCGCATACTCGCCTACCTAGTCGCATACTCGCCTACCTAGTCGCATACTCGCCTACCTAGTCACGCACTCGCGTACCTGCCTACCTCGTCACATACCTGCTTGCATACTCGCATACCGACCCACCGATTCACAGACCTGCCCACCTGTTCAAGTACAAACCTACCTCCCTACCCTCCCATCCATTCTTCTCGTATTTCCTGAAGTGTCCCATCATGCCCACTCCGGTCACAAGCGGCCTATCTTCTCGCTGACCCTCCTCCACCCTGTGGCCAGTCCCACTTTCACTCCTTCTCGCTGCTTGCCCCCTTACAGCGGAACAAACCTCCCTCTCCACATCCGACTCTCCCCCCTTCCCCCTCGCTTTCCTCTTTTCGCACTGCCCTCAGGTCGTCCTATCTCTCTTTCTCTACCTCGCCTTTTCCCTTCCTCTTCTGCTACCCCTACTAGCACCACCCAACGCCCCTGATGCCTCCACCTCGCTCCCTCCGCCGTAGTCACTACCCGATCGCCATCGCTCAACTTGCCATTTTCTACTTTAGTCTGCAAGCCTTGTTAAGCGCCTTGGTGAAAGTCGCTTTATGAATACAAAATAGAATAGAATTTACCCTCCACCGACCCTAACCCCTGCCGCTCCCCCCCCCCCCCCCCCCAGGTGTGCTGAGCTACCTGGCGGAGGCGCTGCCGCACCCGCAGACGGCGGACCTGTCGCCCGCGTGCCTGGCGCTGCTGGTGCGCGTGTGCGCGAGCCAGGCGCAGGAGTGCGTCTTTGAGCGCTTGTGCCACGCTGGCCTCCACAACAACTTCCACTCGCTCCTCACGGCAGCGCAGGAGGCCGCCAAGGTGGGCGCCGGGCCCCGTTCTCCCGCTCGCTCGCCCGCTTACTTGCCCACTCGCCCACTCGCCCACTCGCCCACTTCCTCGGTTGCTCGCTCGCCCACTTGCTTGCTTGCTCATCCATTTCCTTGCTCGCTCGCCTACTCGCTCACCCACTTGCGTGTTTGCTCGTTTGCCCTCTTGCTACTTGATTCTAGATTTGAAGCTTTCGTGACTGCAAGGATTCATACTTCTTAGTTTTTTCCGGTAAAGTCACGTAGGTAAAAAAATTAAATAACAATGTATACGAATAAAATAATAATTTTAATTTCATATTTTTTTACCTACGTGACTTTACCGAAATAACTAAGAGTATGAACTCTTGCGACTTGGTTCGCTCGCCCACACGCTTGCTCGCTCACCCGACTGCTCGTCTGTTCACCCCTAGTCACCCGCTGCATGGTTCGCCCGTTCGCGGAGTCGTCCACTCGCCCGTCTAGGTCGACGTGGCCGGGTGGTTCGTAGTGGCACCGAGTCACCACTACCGAGTTCAAATCGTGGATGCGGGGGTCGAATTTGGCTCATTATCCCTCCGAGGTCGATAAAACGGTTACCACTTTGTGAGGACGTTATGGCCCTTGCCATAACAATGTGGAATTGCCACAACCCGCTCCGCCGGGCCGTAAACTGGATGTGAGCACTGCCTGAATGCGCAAGATCAGTGCGGACGGTTGGTGCGCTGCGCTACCAAGCCGGTAACCCGAGTTCGATTCCCGCTCATGGCCAACTTTTTGGTGGTGACAGGTTATCCGAACCGGGCCTGGGCCTCCCCTAGGTCGCCTCAGCCTCAAGTGATGAGTACCCGGTGAAGCGTGTAAAACTGTACTACTATTTATATTTTACCAGGTACGGCCCACTGAGCTATACAGAAGCGACCTGGCCACAGATGATCGCTCAATGAAGTGGCTTATCACGTGGGAATTTTAGGCAGCCAAATACTATAAACACACGTTGCTTCTAAAATGTAGAAGAAAAACTGGGGGGCCTGGGGAAAAATCCACACGATCACGAGGAGAACATGCAAACTCCAAATATACAGACATTGTCAGAGGTGAAATTGAAACCACGACCTCCTGCATACCAGGCGAGGTAGTTAAAATCTCGCCACTCTGCGCCCCTGATGTGTAAACATCAGCCGGGCGTGGTGCTGGCCACCAATCCCCCTCCAACCCTCACCTCGTGCGTCTTCCCGGCCTACGCTGGTCCTCGCTCAGAATCGGCACTTGCCCCAACCGTCCGCCGAAGGCTACGCGGGTGGGCGGGGGGGGGGGAATCTTTGTCTTTGTCTTTGACACGTGGTCCTGGCTGCGGTGGGGGCAGGTGGCGGAGGACTACACGGGGGTGGTAGGCGCCATGCAGCAGCCGGAGCTGGCGGAGGTGCTGCCCTTCTGCTGGAAGTCGCTGCTCAGGGCCAAGTCGGAGCACTTCGGCGCTGTCGCTCACTACTACCTGGCGCTCGCACTGCTCGACCACGCACGTGAGTCATCGCCGGGGCCTGGGGGGGGGGGGACGAGGTGGATGAGGAGGAGGTGGATGGGGGTGGAGGTGGATGGGGGTGGAGGTGGATGGGGTAGGAGTTGGGTGGAGGTGGATGGGGGTGGAGGTGGATGGGGGTGGAGGTGGATGGGGGTGGAGGTGGATGGGGGTGGAGGTGGATGGGGAGGAGGTGGATGGCGAGGAGGTGGATGGGGGTGGATGGGGGTGGAGGTGGATGGGGGTGGAGGTGGATGGGGGTGGAGGTGGATGGGGAGGAGGTGGATGGGGGTGGATGGGGGAGGAGGTGGATGGGGGTGGATGGAGGTGGATGGGGATGAGGAGGTGGATGGGGATGATGAGGTGGATGGGGGGATGATGAGGTGGATGCGTCATGGTTAATTAAGGTGCCACGGTGGTGAGATGTCGAACTACCTCACCTGGAATGGTTCGATCCTGTGTCTGGATTTTGCGTGTCTCTCTCTCTCCCCGTGGTCGCGTGGATTTTTCTGCGGTCCTCTGGGTTTCCCTGCACATTTATAAACACGTGTTTTAGGGGATTTGGCTGCGATCTATTTCCACGCGATAAGCCACTTCATTGAGATATAATTTGTGGCCACTTCTGAAAAGAAGCTAATAGCTCAGTGGGCCTTACCTGGTAAAATGAAAATGGAAATATTTTTTTAAATTGTTCAGGCTTGCTTGGAGCAATTGCTTCCAAGCAAGCCTGGTGGATGATGGGGGGGGAGTCACCCACCCACTCTGCGCGGGGTGGGTGTCGCCATTTTGTGCTTTTTTTTTGTGACCTTTGCCCTGAACGTCCCGACCATTGCCGTGATCGTCGCCGTGAACATTGCTTTGATTACCGTGATCGCGGCCATTTCCGCGACCACCAGTGTGACCGTTGCCATGACCACCGTGACGGTAACCGCCGTGCCCATCGGTGTGACTGTGACCGCCGCGACTGCCGCCACGATCATCGCCGTGACCGATCTCTCCCGCGTCTCTCACGGCCGCAGCGGCGCCGGGCGAGGACTCACGCGACCAGGAGAAGGCCCTCATGGACGTTCACGAGACGTTGCCCGAGGGACCCTCCATGCACGTCGTCGTGACGAACCTCGACGAGCGTACCAAGCTAGGTACACGTCATCAGCGTTGTTTGTTGTCGTCGTCGTAGTTATTTCGGCCGATGTCTTTGTCAGCATCGTCGTCGTCATCGCTGCCGCCATCATCGTCTCTCCATCATCATCAATTGCTAAATTTGCTGAGGCCACAAACACCCCATCATTATCATCATCAACATCTCCATCATCATTGTTCCCTTAGCCTATGCTCTTTAGGTCCACATTGTTCGGATCAAAGGATTATTGTTATCAATAGTTTTATCGTTATCGTCATCGTCATCAATAGATAATGACTTCTTAGTGCCTGAACACTTCAACATCATCATCATCATCATTACCTTCGTTATCATCATTACCATAGACCATCATCATCATCGTTACCATACACATCATCATTACCTTCGATATCATCATTATTATCATTGCCATTGTTAACACCTTCATCATCATTGCCATCATCATCTTTATTGTCATAAGCACCTTCGTTATCATCAATCCCTAGACATCATCTCACCATCACTATTGTCATTGCCATCGATTGGCATATTCTCAAAGTGTATTCTAGACTTGCAGCTTTCGTGACTGCAAGGATTCATATTTTTAGGTTTTTTCCGGTAAAGTCACGTAGGTAAAACATTAAAATTAATCAAAGTAAAATAAAATAAAAAAAAATTAATATTATTTTTTATTATAATAATAAATATTATTTTTTATTTTATTTTACTTTTATTAATTTTAATGTTTTACCTACGTGACTTTACCGAACAAACCTAAGAATATTCTCCAAGTGCTTGTGCACCCCCACACTAATGGTCGAAACCCGCTCAGAGTTTGCTGTCTTTAACAAATTAAACACAAATGCCGCCGCATGGCACGCGTCCGAAGGCGGTTTGGCCCATGGGCAAGTGTGGAACAGCTGAGTCGCACCAGGGCAAAGTGGGGGGGAGGGGTCGGGTGTGGGGGGTAGGGGGGTGCGGAGGGAAGGGGGGGTGGGAGGAGGGGGGCCGTGGAATTTTTTTGAAAAAGTTTATTGACGTCATTGGCAGACAAGAACATTTCTAGTAAAAAAAAAACAAGCCAGGTTTTCTAAACTTTATTTTAATCGGTACTTAGAGCTGTGTTTGAATTTCTCATTTGAAACAAAACAAACTTGTAATCTAATTTTATCTCCATTTTTGCATCACAATTAAGGCTCTTTTTGGGTCGGATCGTCACGTGTTGTATAATGTCAACTTTTTTTTATTGCTATAACCGCTGCGCCACCCAGCGACAGAGCCAATCAAATCAAGGGGAAGGGGAGGGAGGGAGGGATGGGGAAGGGGGGGAAGGGAGGGGAGAGGTTTAAAAGCCCAAGCAGAAGAGACAATTTTGTCCCACGTTCCGCTGGAAATTCCACCCAACACCATCAGGTGTTCACGTCATGCCTACAACGCCGATCTCAATCAAAAGTAACCAATTACCAATCTCGACATTGATAGTGAAAGCCTTCTGTCGGCGTCACATGACGGTGGTCATGGTCACGGCCCGCGGAAGTGGATATCGTAGAGTTACTTCCCAGATAAAACATTTCTTCAAGTGACCTCTTGTCCGCACACAGTTGAGGGGAGGGGGGGGGGCAATACTTCCTCACCCGCTCGGCATATAAGAGCAATGTTCGTCGCACAACAGCCAAACCCACATTTTTAAATCCTTTATATTAAGTTCGCTTGCTTGCTTGCTTGCGCGCTTACGACCGTGCAAATCTTTCGGTCGTTTTTTAACCCACTTCCCGTGATCCAATCCAGCTGACATTTTGCACACAGACTCGTTGTGCGTGACAATTTATTTTCGTGAAAAAATTTTCCTAAATTTTCCACTTTTTAGGAAAAATTTTAATTTCATATTTTATTTAAAATACCAATGTGCTAAAAATGAAACTCTTACTCAAGAAAAACAGAAATGAATAATAAAATAAAACCGATGCCACGCATATAAAGGATTTATAGTGAAAAACTTTGTTTTTACGGGTTAATTTTTTAATTCTCACAGCTGTAATTTGGCCAAATTTAAGTGCAGAATCAAATTGAATGTAATGGTTTTTTTTTCCTGCAGTTATCGGTGATTGGCCCATCGCCTTACTAGGCTTGAGAAGCCGGTCTAATTTAATGAAACCTGGATTCGAACTCAGCGGTGTCAGCATCTCTGACCACTTAGCCACCCGGCCGCTTCAGGTTGTTTTTTATTTAAATATTTTTCAGCCGAGAGATAAAAATTGTAACCGTATGTTAAAAAAAATCCAAAATTAAATACTCTAATCGTTCACGAGGCGTTCACTGTACAATGGAAGTCCTCAAGTCAAGGGCCCTAGCACGTTGCCGCGGGGACAGGGTCAAGCGTTAACCACGAGGGGTCGCCATGGAGACGCGGTCCTGAGTGCTGCTCTCAGGTGCTTCAAAGAGAACATTCCCCGACATTCCCTCAGGACGTTGAAACACCACGAGCGGGGGAAGGGGGAGGTGGCCGAGTGATTCACGATGGTCGTGTCTGAAACCCCGAGCCGTCGCGGCTAGGATCCTGGGTTCGAATCCGGGGTTCGGCCCGCCCGACCGCAGCGGTTAAGCCGGGTTTCTCGAGTTGCAGCAGAGTTCGTGTTCATCTTCTTGGTTCTTTCGGTAAAGTCACGTAGAAGGGAAATAATAAAATAATGAAAATAAAACATGATAAAATAATTCTCATGACGTTTCGGCCACAATGAGAGCAGCCGTCCTCAGGTGACGCTGTCTCCCCGACAGACCTGTTCTTCACCTGAGGACGGCTGCTTGCGTTGTAGCCGAAACGTCGTGAGAATTATTTTATTATGTTTAATTTTTATTATTTTATTATTTCCCTTCTACGTGACTTTACCGAAAGAACCAAGAAGATGAATCCCTGCAGTCACGAAAGCTTTAAATCGAAATTTAAAAAGAGTTGGTGTTCTCGGCCCGGTCAACGGTGACTGCAAACAAAAAAAAATCCATCACATTTTATTTGGTTCTACGTTCTATCTCTGAGAATTAAATACAGCGAGTAATGCGACGAAATCACTCCCTGTGGCAAAGGTGGGTAGGAAAGTGCTGCCCTCTGCTGTGTGTCGACCAGAGGTCTCTTGAAGGGATCTCAGAGATAGCTCTGTGACATCCGCTTCCGTGGGGCCATTCCCTAACACGAATGACTGCGCGCACAAAAACATGTCCGTAAAATAATCCTCGGTGTCATTGTGGGGACTATCAATAGTTAAATAGATTGACAGACAATGTCCTCTTCACACACGCGTGTCTCTCCACGTGACAAATACAATTATTTATTACACAACCAATTGGACCCGTAGCCTTCTGGAAGTGTGTTATTTCAGCAGCATTCGTTCTGTACAAGCAAACTCCGGACCGAATGTTGAATCCGGTCCAGATTTTGCTTGAATGAGTTCTCAAATGTAGGGAGTTACTATTGTTCCTCTTCATCTCCCCGTGTATCCCTTCCCCTACCCGTGTCTCCGCGTGTCTCCCTTCCCCTGCCCGTGTCACCTTTCCCCTGCCCGTGTCTCCCCGTGTCTCCCTGCCGTGTCTCCCTTCACCTGCCCGTGTCTCCCTGCCGTGTCTCCCTTCACCTGCCCGTGTCTCCCTGCCGTGTCTGCCTTCCCCTGCCCGTGTCTCCCCAAGTCTCCCCGTACGTCCCTTAACCTGGCCGTGTCTCCCTGCCGTGTCTCCCCGTGCAGCGTTGGGCCACCTGAGCAAGGCGGTGTGGCGGCACGAGGATGCGGTGCGCACCGCATCCTCTCTGGGGAGGCTCGGCGACCTGCAGAACTTCCTGGCCACGGCGCGCGACCAGGCGAAGACGCGGCTCGCCAAGTTCGAAACCGACGGCGGCTTCATCAACTCGTCGGAGGCCCCCGAAATCGCCCGTGCGTATTCCTCTGTGTGTGTGTGTGTCTGTGTGTGTGTGTGTCTCTGTGTGTGTCTGTGTGTGGGGAGCGGTAGTGTAGCGGTTAGCGCGCTGCGCTATGAACCTGGCGATCCGGGTTCGATTCCCGCTCACGGCTAACACCAGTGACGATTATCTGAACCGGTCCTGGGCCTCCCCTAGGTCGACTCAGCCTTAAAATGAGTACCTGGTGCGGTGTGTAAACATCGTCACTGGGGAAACAAAGGCGGTTGGGCGTGGTGCTGGCCACCCACCCCCTCATGTACCGTTCCGGCTTTCATAGGTGCTCGCTAACAGCACTTGCCCCTACAGTCTGTTAAGGCTATACGGGGGATCTTTATCTTTGTCTCTGTGTGTGCGTCTCTGCGTGGGGAGTGGTAGCGTAGGGGTTAGCGCGCGCTGCACTACGAACCTGGCAAACCGAGTTCGATTCCCACTCGCGGCCCAAACCCACGAAGAAAATCTTAACTGGTCCTGGACCTCCCCTAGGTCGACGCGGCCTTAAATGAGTACCTGGTACGGTGCGTAAACATCGCCATTGAGGAGACAAAGGCGGTCGGGCGTGGTGCTGGCTACCCACCTCGTATACCACGTCGCTAACAGTACTTGCCCCAACAGTATGTTAAAGGCTTTCTGGGGTGTCTTTGTGTGCGTGTGTGTGCGCGCGCGCAGGTATGTGTGTGTTTGCGGGGGTGCGTACGTGGGCTGTTGTTGAGGTTCGTGTTTTTGAGGGTACGCACTGTGAAGCAGCTGTCGACAACTTGGCAAAGCAAATCAAAATTCCAGGGCCGTGTGTTTGCTCAACTGCAACGTTTGCGTCGCCAACTCTCGCTGTCCCGCGATACATCGCGATCCATCAATCCCGCACACCGATCTCTTTGCTCCATCTCCACGGACGGTGGTCATCCTCTCAGGGCGCGTTTTTCACCTCCGGCTGCCACTCCAACTCCATCATCGGAATCTTGATTTAGACTGGAGGAATCCGATGAGCTATGAAGCTCCTTTTCACAGATGTCCAGGCAGGGGGGCGGCGGGTCAGCAAGTTACAATACTGGGGATCTTTGTCTTTGTGTGTGTGTGTTTAAGAGAGGCAATGTATGCGTGTTTTAGCACTGTTGGCTGCGTATGGTACGAAATAAATTCTACATTTCATACAAAGACACATTAACACAAAGACAAAGGTTCACAAACCTCACGGGTTATTATTTTTGTTTTACCTGGTTAAATAATGGTGAACAAAAAATGAAGCCCAGCACCGCTCGATGAGAGTTCTGAACGAATTCTCCGTTGCATGATGACGCGGCACCAACGGCGCGACTGGGAATGACGTCATGGTGGGGGGGGAGGCGAGGGAATTTCCGCAAGAACAAAACGTGATCGAATGTTCCGTCCCTCTCTCATTTCGCCAAAAACAGCGGAAACCCATCACAACCCAGAACTGAAGCCCCCGGTGTTCGACAAAGTGGAGGGCACAGACATCTTCCGCCGGCTGGTAACACGCCGCACCTCCATCGCGAACCTCGTTACATCGTCGTCATCGATGACTTGTTTTTTTACCCTTTTTATCTGGCAACAAAACTGACAGCCTTTTTGTTGCCAGATAAAAGGGTAAAAAACCAATTATCATATTTTTTTACTGGCAAATGAGGTTCCAATGGTGTATCGTCGTCATCTTCAGTGCTGCCGTTGTCATCGTCATAATATTCAGTGTTGTAATCATCATCATCATCATTGGTGTTATCATCGACCGTCGCGTCTTCATCATCACCATTGTCATCGATGTTATTGTCATCATCATCAATGCCATCGTTGTCATCATTGTCATCATCAGTATGATCATCATCATCGTCAAGCAATCGCAAAGGCTGCACCACAGAGCGGGGTCCGTGTGGGTCGCCCTCTCATCGTCCGCTCGGTCCTCATGACGTGACCTCCTGACCCCCCCTCGGTGGTCACATTGTTTTGCTTGTCATCTCACCGCTACGTGTTGTCGTCTCTCCGTGCGCCCAGGGCCCCCTGTCGGTCTTCTCGGCCAAACAGTGCTTGAGCAAGCCTCGCAAGGTGCACCTGTCCAAGCCGGCGGAGGGATACGGCATGCGGCTCGGAGGCGATTCGCCCGTCCGCGTCGTGCTGGTCCAGCCTGGGAGCGCCGCCATGGTAAACGGGGCGCAACGTCATTTTAACCGCGCTCAACTTTTAACCTCCTCCTCGAAGGAACGGGCGTAACCTATCGGCCGCATCATCGGAAACGTCGTCGGCAGGCCGATACGCGCGTCGCCTTCTTCGTGAATGAAAAATTTAAGACACGAGCCAGAGCAGTGTGATTGTAGGCCATGGAACCCAAACTTTAGACCAGACAGTGAATCAATAGAGTGATACATGGTGATAATAGATCGAGATACACACAGATACACTGAAGACGACAAGCCAGAGTCGTGTGATTGTGGCCACGGAACCCAAACTTTAGAACAGACAGTGAATCCATAGAGTGATACATGGTGATGATAGATGGAGATTCACACAGATACACTGAAGACGACAAGCCAGAGCAGTGTGATTGTAGGCCATGGAACCCAAACTTTAGACCAGACAGTGAATCCATAGAGTGATACATGGTGATGATAGATGGAGATTCACACAGATGCACTGAAGACGACAAGCCAGAGTCGTGTGATTGTGGCCATGCGACCCAAACTTTGGACCGTATTGTAAACCCACTGTGGTCTGGCCTCTTTCAATGGAGGAGGAGGAACGGCGACACGACACAAACTCTCTCTCTTTGCTGAAGCACTCTGGTCGTGGCCAGCAGCAGCAGGCCTCTACACTTTCACATTTAGCTCATTTCCACTACACACACAAGAATAAAACAGAACCATGTTACATGTGTGGCTTGAGCAAAAAATACATATATATGCTTGACGATATCAATACATTTTGTTTCCAATTTAGCTTTTATGTAGCCAGGTGGCTCGGCGATAGAGCGAGCGGCTCGCAATCGAAAGGTTTCGAGTTCAAACCCTGTTCGGAGGGTGGGGGCGGGACGTGACCTGAGCCCCATCATCTCTCCGGGGTAGATAAAAATGAGTACCGCTTTGTGGATAAGTCAACGGTCAGTTGCCCTATTGACCTGCCTCACCCAGGTTGACCCTGGCAATCCTGAGGCTCAATTTTAAGCCACGGCCGCCAACTTCATTGTCGCGCGACATCCGAATCAGTCCTGGACCCCCCCCCCCCCCCCCCATTTCACTTCACCAACTGACCCCCCCTCGTCGACCAGCGTGCTGAATTACTGTCGCGTAACTCCCGCGACCTCGCACGACGAAGAGGTGGCCCCTCTTCATCCAGCAGTGGAGTGGCACGTGCGTTCGCGATGCCAGGTCCGCGGGCGATCCATTGCCTTGATCGGTGACGGGGCCGGCCGTGTGTTGTCTTTGTTGCCACGATTCTCAGCCGATGCTTAGAGAACGACGGGGTCAAATCCATCCATTTAATGCCGCATCGATCACGCGAATGGACGGCCTGATGGGGCCGGCTGCTCACCGGAATATCGATCGACTTAGCGGAATTATGAACGGCGCGTTTAAAATGAACGTTTACCAAGAAAGTTTCGGTGTGCCGACGCTGATTGATTGTAATCGGGCCCGGCGTTGTGAATAATGATGGCCGTATCCCTCGGCAGGTTCATTAAAATGAAAAAGTAATTTGGTGGCGCGGGACTGGCTGGGTGTACGCGAAGCCCGTTCAGGGAGCTCGCCCGTTCAGGAATTGTAATCGCTATTTGTCTCGCTCGTGTTTTTAAAACGTGCGACATTCCCGCACACCGGGCCAACGTAGAACATCGATATAATTTACATCGGTCGCTCATTCACTCGCTCTCACTCTCCCCAGCTATTGTGGATATGATTAAACTGATTACTTGGTGGTGATGCTGCTGCTGCTGTTGCGTTGGCAGTGACGTAAAATCAACACGGTGACAACTATTCAACTCGTTCGTCAATAACCACACCACCCTGTGTGTGTTGCCTTTTAAAAGGGAAAAAAAAACCTATCATAATTATCAGAATTATTTTTAAAACTATTATAGTTTTTTTTCCCCCCTTTCAAAGGCAAATTCGGTTATAATCGAATTTTCGGACCAGGTCCCATCTTCATGGCACAATGGTTGCCCAAAACGTCATCTTTTGTTTTTTTAAAGGCATTTCTGACGACGAATGCCGAACCGTTGTTGTTGTTGTTTGTTGCTCGTGCAACGCTACTGAACGTCGCAGCGTCACCAAAATACTGGACAACATGGCGGCCACCCTAACAATCGGCTGCCCCCCCACACTCCGCTCCCCCACTCCGCCCCCACCTCCACTCCCCACTCCCCCACGCCCCCACTCCCCACTCCCTCACTCCCTCACTCTCCCACACCCCCACTCCCTCACACCTCCACTCTCCCACTCCCCCACGCCCCCCCAGCGATCGGGCATCAAGGAATGTGACTACATCATCGGGGTCGGAGGTCAGGACTGCCGCTGGTTGGGTCAAGCGGCCGTCGCCGACCTCATGACCCAAGCCGGGATGGCTGGGGTGGAGGTGGAGGTCGTGACCCCGCTGAGGTTGCTCACCTTCAGCGAGGGCTCGCCGGTGAGGGCTTTGGACGTAGAGGGTGGCGGTGCGCGATGATGATGATGATGATGTGGGTCACGGTGTCCCCGTGTGTGTGTGTTGGCCACCCACCCCCTCGTGTGCCGTACCATGCCTTCACAAGTGCTACTCGCCAACAGCACTTGCTCCTACAGTCTGTTAAGGCTATACGTGGGGTCTTTGTAGTGTCGTGGTTACGAACCCGGTGACTCAAGTTCAATTCCCGCTAATGGCTGACACCAGTGGCGATTTATTTGAAACGGTCCTGGGCCTCCCCTAGGTCTACTCATTTCAGGCTGAGTAGCTGATGCGGTGTGTTAAACATCACCACTGGCGAGACAAAGGCGGTCGGGCGTGGTGTTGGCCATCCACCTCGTCGTGTGTCCGTGCCAGACTTTATAGGTCCTCGCTAACAGCACTTGTCCTAACAGTCAGTGGTGCATGTTTACACACCGCACCAGGTGTTCATTTGAGGCCGAGTCGACCTAGGGGAGGCCCAGGACCAGTTTAGAAATTTTTCAACGGTGTTGGCCATGAGCGGGAATCGAACTCGGGTCGCCGGGTTCGTAGGGCAGCGTAGCGCTAACCGCTACCCTACCACTACCCACACTCTTACAAACACCCCCTTACACTCACTCGCACACTCCCACACTCTCTTGTACTCAGCACTCACACCCTCTTGACACTGTTTGGGTGGACCGAGGCGGTTCACGACTGCCGCGCCGGGAGATAGGAGATCGACCAGGTGACCTCTGGCTATCACGAGCACCGTTGCGCTCCAGCTAATAGCCTCGAACAGTTTGTTGTCAGTAAATTAGCTTCCTCCCGAGAACGGTTAATAAATAAATAACACCTGATTCTCGTGAAATATTAAACTCATAACCTTGAACTGCATGTGCTTTCATTTCCACGGGGGGGGAGGGGGGGGGATATTACATTATTTTTTATTTCCCCGGTGTATTTATGGCTTTGAAAGACTTGGCAGCCGATTTGAAGATGCGTTTTATTTGCGCCGAGGTGCATCTCTCCGTTGTAAGCTGTCTTTGATGAAGAGACCAGCTGTGTGTGCTGCGTCTGTGTGGTTATGTCTCGGGAGGGGGGGGGGGGTGTAGCGGTTAGTGTTGCTGCGCTGCAGACCCGGTGACCCGAGTTTCGATTCCCGCTCACGGCCACCAACACCGGGGACGATTATCTGAACCGGTCCTGGGCCTCCCCTAGGTCGACTCAGCCCTCAAATGAGTACCTGGTGTGTAATCATTGCCACTGGGGAGACAAAGGCGGCCGGGCGTGGTGCTGGCCACCCACCCCCTCGTGTGCCGTGTCACCCTTCCAAGGTGCTGCTAGCGAACAGCACTTGCCCTCAATGGCTTGTTTGAGGCTATACAGGGGGGGATCTTTTATCTTTGTTTGCGTATAAACCCGGCCTTAGACGGGCACCTGGTGCGGTGTGTAAACCTCATCGCTGGGGAGACAAAGGCGGCCGGGCAGGCGTTGGTGCTGGCCACTTGCACGTTCGCCGTGCCGGTCTTATTCGGCGCTCGCTAACAACACTTGCCCCAGCAGTCTGGTGAAGGCTATATGGGGCGTCTTTGTATGTGTGTTTTGAGCAAGATACACATACAGTGGCGAGCGATGATTTTGATTGCCAGTGAGTTTGATTCCCACTAACGGTAAACATCAGTGACAAGTATCAGCACTGGTCCCACTAACGGTAAACATCAGTGACAAGTATCAGCACCGGTCCCACTAACGGTAAACATCAGTGACAAGTATCAGCACTGGTCCCACTAACGGTAAACATCAGTGACAAGTATCAGCACTGGTCCCACTAACGGTAAACATCAGTGACAAGTATCAGCACCGGTCCCACTAACGGTAAACATCAGTGACAAGTATCAGCACCGGTCCCACTAACGGTAAACATCAGTGACAAGTATCAGCACTGGTCCCACTAACGGTAAACATCAGTGACAAGTATCAGCACCGGTCCCACTAACGGTAAACATCAGTGACAAGTATCAGCACTGGTCCCACTAACGGTAAACATCAGTGACAAGTATCAGCACCGGTCCCACTAACGGTAAACATCAGTGACAAGTATCAGCACCGGTCCCACTAACGGTAAACATCAGTGACAAGTATCAGCACCGGTCCCACTAACGGTAAACATCAGTGACAAGTATCAGCACTGGTCCCACTAACGGTAAACATCAGTGACAAGTATCAGCACCGGTCCCACTAACGGTAAACATCAGTGACAAGTATCAGCACTGGTCCCACTAACGGTAAACATCAGTGACAAGTATCAGCACTGGTCCCACTAACGGTAAACATCAGTGACAAGTATCAGCACCGGTCCCACTAACGGTAAACATCAGTGACAAGTATCAGCACCGGTCCCACTAACGGTAAACATCAGTGACAAGTATCAGCACCGGTCCCACTTACGGTAAACATCAGTGACAAGTATCAGCACTGGTCCCACTAACGGTAAACATCAATGACAAGTATCAGCACTGGTCCCTGGACTTTCCCCGGAGGTCTCCACTCGGCCTTAAAGGATAACCTGGTGCACCGTGTAAATATCAGCATTGGGGAGACAAAGGCGGGTGGGCGGGCAGGCGTAGTGCTGGCCACCCATCCCCCTCGTGCGCCACAGTGCCGGCCTTCATAGGTGCTACTCGCTTAACAGCACTTGCCCCGACAGTCTGGTAAAGGCTACACGGGGCATCTTTGCCTTTGTAAATCTCATGGCCTTGTATTTATGTCCTGTTGACTCAAGCAACCATTAATTTCACTGCTTGTGTTATTTACAACCGCCCTTTGCTCTCGCGATATATTTTTTTTACACATCAACACTTTTATTATTATATTTGGTGGCGGGCGTGGCGGGGGGGACTTTATGACTATCAATGTTCTGAGGAAACGCATATAAAATGCTCATAAATGTATAATCGTAGGCCGCGTTGGATGGGGGTGGATGTCTCTCTTCGTCAGTGTTATGTCAACGCATTTTATTGGAGCAAGAAAATTGGTTTCTTTTGGCCCAGTCCACAGGCTTTGAGGCACGCACAAATACAAAGAACCCCCCCCCCCGTGTGTAGCCTGCACCGGTTGTTGCGGCAAGTTCTGCTAGTGAGCACCTATTAAGGCTGACGTGACGAGCGAGGTAGTTGTGTGGATAGCACCACGCCCGACCATCTTTGTCCCCCCAGTGCTGATGTTAACACCACACCAGGTACTACTCATTTATGGATGGACCTAGGGGAGGCCCAGTACAGATTCTGATATCACTAGCCACTGATGTTAACCATGGCCAGGAATTAAACAGAGGTCATTGGGTTCATAGTCAAGTGTGCGAACTACTGTCATACCGCTCCCCGCCATGTGCAGCGGTGGCTTTTTCTGCTGGCAGTGACCTTGGCAAGAAATTGCAGGGCTGCAACTTTTACCTTTTTTAGCTTCACAAAACTTCGCTGCGCTGTGAAAACAATAATCGTTTCTCGTGGCTGGGCCGCTTCCTCGGACTGACATCGGCTCCTTCCGGCGCCGTTCGATGGTTGCCGACCTCTGACCCCGCCCGTGTTTTTCCCACCGCCGCCCGTCATCTTCAGGAGCAGCGGCGGATCGACAGCAGCCCCAGGCCGCTCGCCACAGGCACCATCACGGGCGCGTCGACGCTGACGAGCGGCGAGCGGGTTCGCGGGCGCAAGACCCTGCGCGACAAGGTGTCGTCGCTCTTCGGGCGCAAGAAGAGCCGCCCCAAGAGCGTGCCCGGCACGCTGAGCAGCATGTTCGACAGCACCAAGGACTGGCGCGGGTACTGACGCGCGCGGGTCGACTCGTGGCGCCGGACGAGACGTCGGAAAAACGAACCGATTTCTCCCGCGCCTGTCGCCTGCGGAGCGTGAATGTCGACCGCTTAGGATTGTTGCTGAATTGCATGCGAACGATGTTACTTTGTGCCTTGAGGATGACGGAGACAGCGAGACTGTGGGCGAGATGATGGTAAAAAAAAAAAGCAATAAAAACCAGATGATGACGGGACGTGGAGCGGGGGTGGTGACGAAGAATCGTTTTTTGTATCAATTTTTTTGAGCACGAGTTGCAACAATTCATCGAATCACTGGGTCGGTGAATTGTTGTGCGTCAACCGAACAGCCTTGGTCGGTGTGCAGGCAGTGGCAACTGCACACGGGCTAGGGTTCCACAGACGGCAATCCGCCATTAGTCCACCCCTTTTTTGCCACCTTAAGTCTACCAATCGACAGGGGGTCTCGAACTTGAACGGCGTGCGCGCCAGTGTAGGCCGCACGTATGCGACCGCGTTCCGTGACATTATTTAACGGCGGATTGGACGGACTGCAAAGCTAGACTGCGGAAACCACCCCCTCCTCCCCCCCCATAGGGACTTGATGTACCGGATCTGTGCCAAGTCTGTTCCCTTTGTCGTTTGAATTCTGGGTCTTCACTCTGTGGTAATGCCACAAGGTGGCCCTTGTTGCTACCGGCAGCGCCGTTCAATGAATAAATAAAGCGTCAAAATCCGACGTTCATTTCTCGGTCACGTGATAAAAACTCTTTGTCTTTCTCAGAAACTCGAAGTTTCATACCTTCAAACGAGATGACTACTTTTTTTCTTAAAGAAAAGAAACTTTGAAAACGAATACAAAATAATATTGTTATTATTATATGAATTGTTGCTGTTTAATATATTTTTTTTAAATGTCATGTAAAAAAGGTTGGGAGGGGAGTGGAAAAAAGAACGCGCCGAACGCAATCGCTCCCGTGGTATGGTTTTGTCTGTGGTCGACGGCTGTAACTGATCGATTGCGGTCACAACTTTGAAGGCGATGACCGTGGCACCGGCATGTTTTTTTTGTCGGAGCTTTAAGATGCCTTCACCATGCTCGCACTCACGGATTCTTCACGCGACTGCGGTTGTGTTTGTACCGATAGCTTGACACGATCAGCAGTGTTTGTATGCGTGGTCATCCTGCTGTTTACTTGCATTAATCTTTTTCTTTCTTTCAAATGTCCATGTTATTTATTCGTTTTGTCTCATTGCATTTGTTAAGGCGCTGGTGCAGGACCCATCAAAAGACATTTGACTGGTTCAGTAAAGCAAAAGTGGGCTTGGGCAGGGATGTCGTGGCTCAGAATAGAGACTGATGGCCGGTGGTCAGCATTGAGGACAGAGTGGCAGCCAAAGAAGGGAGCACTGCCCAGGAGGCATCGATCGATGGAGATGAAGCTATGAAATGGGCTCGTGTGTAGGATCCAGACAGATTTTTGGAAGATGATGATGGCTTGGTAGGAGGCCTTCATGTAGCAGTGGATAGATCATAGCTGATAATGATGATGACTAGATTAGAGGGAAGTGTTCCCAGTGTGTCTTGATGGTCGTGGCATCTAAACTGAAACTAAAATTTACCATGAATTAAACATTTTCCTTAAATTGCCTAGGAAAGTCCCCTCTGAGTCCAATTCAATTCTTTTTTCAGGAGGGTCCTGCACTGGTACGTTTGTAGAATTAATTTAAAATGAGAGTTTAGCTTCATGTGGGAGGAAATCGGAAGCATGCAGAGGAACCGCACCATGAGCAAGGCGTGAGACACGCAACGTTTGCATCCTTCGCTTGCCCCTTGCGGAGCCACATGCCTACAACAACTTGGCAAGCTCCGGTCGTATCTCATCCAAATCCGTGACCAGGATCAACGCCTTCCGATCTGACAAGATCTGATGAGCGAGAGGGCACTTGCCTGATCTCGCTGGATCTCAGACGCTAAGCTTCCGAGCCTGGTTAGTATTTTGGATGCGAGACCAAGCTGCCAATACAGGTGGTAATATGGCTTGAACTATTATGCAGTGTCTAGAATGTAGCAGCACTTTTTTTAAACAAGAGTCCGGAACAAAGCACGAGCAATTTAAAATAAATAAATAAACAGGGATCGTGGTGGGGGCACGGAAATTCCAGCGGACGAAAGCCCGAGGTGCGGTGTTCACGGGGAAAAGGAGGGAGAGGAGGTGGGCTCACCTACCCCACTACTAACGTAGGGACAGCGTACGGGACATGGATTTGTTTTTTGGGGGGGGGAAGGGAAGGTCAAGGGGGAAAAAAAGAGGAGAGCGGTGAGGGTGGGGGCAGATTCTTGAATATTTCAGTTTTTACCCTATTGTATGCATGGTGCAGTTTTCTTTTGAATTCCTCCCACACGAGACCAAAGATGAATCAATTGCATTGGCCAAACATTCAATTGTTTTGTGGAAAAGGGCTTTGAGACTTGGTGAAGCATTCCAGGGTAACTATGGGTATATTTTTTTTTACTTTGACCACATCGCTTCTATCTAGGGCAGGGGTCGGCAACCTACGGCTCCGGAGCCGCATGCGGCTCTTTACGGGCTGCTTCTTGACGATATGTACGTATGTACAGTATGTACTCAGATGCATTGCGGCTCTTGAAATACTGAATTTTGTACCGAATTGGAAAGAAATGGCTCTTCTTGTTATTTTGGTTGCCGACCCCTGATCTAGGGTTGCCACCTGTCCTGGTTTTCCGAGGATTGTTCTCTCTTTGAAGTACCTGTCCTGTGAAATCTGGAAGTCTTCCTGTGACATTAATAATACACCACTCAAGACATGACATTTACCTGGAGTTCTACCCTCTCCTATGATTGTGTGATATTATTTTTTATTATTTGTCCCGATTCTTGGTACCAAAAAGGTGCCAACCTTACTTTCACGTCTGGTTCTTTCCTGGGTTTAGCCTGTGGCCTTGTAACCTATGCTCATATGAAGCCTACACAAGGCCCTCAATAGAATACAAAGGTGGACCCCATCAGAATTTTTCTCAGAACCATCCCTGTAAACTCCGGGAGCCTTAATTGTACCAAATTTAACCAATGCATTTGCTCAGGCCCTCAGGAAAATGGCATGGGTGTTTTCAGCCCTCTCTGACTTAAGCTTCAAGAAAAAAATGCCCGTGTGTTGCTAAGGAACAAAAAATCTATTCGGATGGGATTTTTAAAATTGCAAACTAACACATTCCTGCGGAGGAAGCTGGTAGGAACGTTGGGTTGCTCGGTCAATGGCCAGGGTCAATGGCGGCGTGGTGTATTCCGCAAATATGGCCGACTGTGAGGGCGGGCACAAGCAGGCGTGAGTAGGTTAAACGTTGAGTTTTATAAGGGCACCACGGGGTGACCAGTCCCTCCCATTTTTGGATGCAGGACGGACTGGACACAATAATCCCCTATGGGCTGGTGGAACCAGGTGGTTCCTACCAGTATAATTGCCTTTGTATTTTGAGCCACACATGTAGAAGCAAGTTTGGTTTAAACTGTATAATGGAAATGATGTGTTTTTTTCATATTATAATATAGAACCATTTCTCAAGTCGCCTTTCAATTATATTTAAACATTTGTGATGACAATGTGGTGCATTTACACACGGTGAAATTAAATCTTTACTTTTTATATTGAAAAAAAATATACAAAACATATGCTAAATAAATTCTAGATTTATATTAACCCCAAAGTTTATCTTTCAGCAAAGTTAATTGACTGTACTCAATGTTTGCCTTAAAGTATAACCTGTTTTGCACTTATTGGCTTTTGGGTTAATGGTTTAACAAATGTATATTCTGTAAAAAAAAAAAATCCTAGTTTTACGTCATTTGCTCACAGTATTGTATGTATGGTACCTTTTTAAGTAGCGCCTTGCTGTGACATTGTGCAACGTTTTCACGGTGTGTTTTGTAAGAATTATATCTAGATATCGTATATACGTTTTTTATTATTATTATGATTTCTGATACAAAAAAAAATCTATTCATGAGCAGTCTTTCTTTAATTCAATGTGGCCAAATTTCAATTTTTAGAGATGCTGCCGTGGTGTGATGGTTGACACGGTGGACTTGTAATCCAGAGTCCGCTGGTTCCATCTCCTGAAACAATCCTGCGAGTTTCTTAAACCCCCCGTCACTGTCCACCCAGCAGTATAAATGGATATACCACGGTTAGTTAATTGGTAAGTCGTGTGTATGTGGTGGTGGGATAGGTTGTGGGTACTCCCACTTCTTACACGATGCCTGGCCATCCTGGAAGAAGAGGCCAAGACTCTGGCAAGGGGCCTTCCAAAACGTCCTCTCGTGGAGGCCCTGGTTGCCAGCATTGGCATGAGCAAGACTTTTAAGGGCTGTGCCTTTATTACGTCTTTACTTGACATGTAATGCCAACAATATCTGTCAAATCAGATTTTGTTTTCTTAATATTTCATCCCGAGCTAATATAGTAGCTTAATTTCAATGATCAACGCTATCGAGAACTTCTTGCCTTTATATTATACTGTTTTGCAATGTATACTACTCGCTTCCTTCATGTGAATAAATATGGCTTGTGGATCTCTCCCTAATTTACGAAGAGCATTAGAATACCGAGGCGAAATGAAATTATTAAATTTGGTCGCTTCACTTTGCCGCCCTTCATTAAAGAAATATGGAGGCATAATACCATAAAGTTAATGACATATATAAAGTGGTACGTTATGAAAGAAATTACCTCGCGGTCGAATTAGTTCTACAAGAGACAAGGTCAGAGTGAGAAAATGTTTTAAGAGCAGAATATTCAACGTGCACCTCCAGTGGCACGAATTACAATTCTGAATTTGACTCGATACCGTGCCTTACATTTCGCGTCATGGTACGTCAAAGCTAACTGCTTAACAAGTAAACCCGTAAAAACAAAGTTTTTAACTATAAATCCTTTATATGCGTGGCATCGGGGTGGCTAGAGTCCTCTTGTCCTCTGGCTTGAGATGGCTGCCACCTATGGGTCAGATGATTGTCTGGCAGCATTAAATAATTGGTAATGAAATATTTTTTTCCCCCTAAACAGTGTAAAATTTTGGACATTTTTTTTTCACGAACATTAATTGTCACGCACAACGAGTCTGTGTGCAAAATGTCAGCTCGATTGGATCACGGGACGTGGGTTAAAAAACGACCGAAAAATTTGCACGGTCGTAAGCAAGCAAGCACGCAAACACGCAAGGCAAGCAAGCAAGCGAACTTAATATAAAGAATTTTAAAATGAGCTAAACTTTTTGTGAATTAAGACGTTTTGCTCCACCGTTCTCAAAACAGACCCAATCGACCAAATTCCTACCCAATATCCCCACCCCACCCCCCAGAATTTTCTCTATTTTTATTTAATTATTCGAAACGCACACTACAAAAAAAGGAAGTCTCTTTGACAGCAATGGATTTGTTCTCGTATGCAGCCTCATCTTGTGTGTTCGCTTGTCAACGTGTTTCTTTCCGAGCCGATCTTGATCAATAAAGTGAGCACTGTTCTAAGCACCCGCTGCAATTGAATGTTTTGTTATAAATCACACGCGGGCATGGTCGCATGCTCATTTGTCCAGAGTTGCTACGGATAATTTGACTTCATGTGACCCTTCTTGGTTCTTTCGGTAAAGTCACGTAGAATGCAAATAATAAAATAATAAAAATAAAATAATAAAAATAAAACATACTAAGAGAATTATTTTATTATGTTTTTAATTATTTTATTATTTCCATTCTACGTGACTTTACCGAAAGAACTAAGAAAATGAATCCCTGCAGTCACGAAAGCTTTAAATCGAAATTCATGTGACCCATCCAGTGGCGCAGGATTCGAGTGTGCAGCTGCACTGGGAATTCCACGGGTCAGGGTGTTGGGGGGGGGGGCAAGGTTCCTGCACGTGAAGAGTGGCCGGGAAAACTGGGCAAGGGAGAGGGAGGGGCCCAGGAGGTGTGCCCCGGACGACACCGAGGTGCCCAGAAGGCCCTCTCTAATTCGTTGTACACACATGTCCTACCGTGCTACGCCACTGGACCCACATTTGTCCAAATAGACGTTTTATCAGGGGGAGGGAGGGACCCCTATTTGAGCAAATATTTATTGCATTATTTTTTTAGAGTTTCTTTTCCACTGTTCGATTGCAACAGTAATGCATTTTTGGAGAGGGGTGTGGAATGTTGTGTATTTGTGCGTGTGGCCGTGCGGTCGTGCGGTAGTGCGCTCTGAACCTGTCAAGCTAGTGCGGTGTGTAAACATCACCACTGGGGAGACAAAGGCGGCCGGGCGTGTTGTTGGCCACCCTCCCACTCATGCACCGTTTCCGGACTTCATAGGTGCTCGCTAACATCACTTGCCCCAACAGCCTGTTGAGGCTGTACGGGGGATCTTTGCTCATGTACGTGGACAATTCTCCTGCCACTGGCGTGCAATTGCCTTTTATCTTCGTTATTTTGTAAATTACATTTGCAGCGCGCTGCATTGGCTGTCAGCTGTTAGCGCAGGCCTTAATTGCAAGAGAGGCTCGCAAGTGGCAACGGGTAAAATCAATTTGATCGCTCAATTTACAACAACAATAACAACTGAAATGTATGAAGCGTCTGAATGTGGCATCATATCAAGACTCCTTACGATACCCAGGAAGCATGAAACGTTGAACCAACGGTGGCTTGTTTACCGGGAACGAAAACAACTCCCTTGACTGGATTTTTTGTTTCATTCAAGACTCGTTTAGAGAACAATACGACGATAAAAACAATTCTCAATCAGCCTTGATCTATCCAAATTGTGCAGTTTTTAAGAAGTGACCTGGCCACAATTGACAGCACAAAGTGGTGAATCATCATGTGGAAATGTGTCGCAGCCAAACACTTTAAACGCACGTTGATATTAATTGTGGAGGGAAAACACGGAGGACCGGGGGAAATCCACGCGACCACGGGGAGAGAGAGAGAGACGTGCAAACTTCAAATATACAGGCTTGGGATCGAACCCACAACTAAACCCAAAACCCGCCTATCGCCACAATTGACGGGGACGTCACCAAGGCGCCTGTGCCAGGCCAGGTGCACTTTGAGGCCACGTGAAGTGTCGAAGGGCTCGCTGCTGGCAGGAGGTCACGGGACAGAGCCAGGAAAGTGCAGTGGTTCGACCGACCGAGATGACCGGCAGATGCAGCAGCCCTACTGTGCCACCTTGCTGCATTTTATCCGCCCGGCGCTCCGCTCGTTGTTGTGAGCGTCGCTCCTCTGCCCTCCGTTGCTGTTGGGAGGGCGACTGCCTCCAACTGCCCAGTAGTAGCAGCGTCCTTCACGAGCCGCCTCCTCCACAGAGCCCAATCTTGACACCGCTGGTACCGGTCATCGGCAAGTCCACTCAGCTCCACATCCTCCCGTACCGCATCAGTTCCATCTAATCTCCAGCCCGTGCCGTGGCCCCCCCCTCTATGCGGCCAAACAGAAGCTGCTTGGGCATGCAGTGGCTGGGCATGCGGGCTACACGACCCAGCCAACGCAGCCTTTCAAGGATTTGTGAGCTGATAATTGTTTTTTTACCCTTTTATCTGGCAACAAAACTGACACTTTTTTTTTTTACAGCTTTTAAGGAAAGCTGTCTCGGGTGTGGACCAATCAACTTCAAGGACACTGCACATTATCAGAGTTATGTTTTTGTTTGCATTACGACTGCAGGTATTGTGGTATATGCAAACATGACTCCGTGTAAAAAAGGTGCCAGTTTTGTTGCCAGATAAAAGGGTAAAAAAACAATTATCATATTTTTCTACTGGCAAATGAGGTTCCAATGGTGATTTGTGAGCTCCTCGCACAATTCAGCCCGCAGGTTAAACCCGGGATGGATGGTAGGCATGCCAGCCTCAAAGATGTTGGCATTGATCAAACATTCCAATGTATTCCAATTCTGTAGATTTACCTGTAAATTACCCCCCTTCCCTTCTGCTAAAACCTGGCAGGACCCTCTTGAAAGAAAGGATTGCGACTCTTTGAGGCTTCACTGGATGACAAGCAAAATGATGTTATAGGTCAGGGGTCCGAAATCTGCGGGCAGCCGTTTAAAAACAAAATCCACCCTTCAATCTCAAACATCATTTAACGTAAAGAAAATTGATCAAACGTGGCAGGGGATTGGGTCACGGTGGAATATCTTGGTGGCAACAAAATGTACAGTCAAGCTGTTCGAGACTAACTCCGGGACAAATAAACAACATACTACGCCTACTTTGTTTCTTTAAGTCAGAATTTGGTTTTCACCTGCCGTCTACCTGCCGTGTTTGAGTACAAAAGTAGCTTTGTCAAAGACTAAGACAAACAGCAATGGCTTCTTCTTCTTTGCAAGGTTGCCGGCCCCTGTTTATAGGCTGTGGTGGGCAGCAGAGGGCAGTGCAGAGAGGGTAAAAAAACATCCATTGGTTGTATAAACGGTGCTCTAGATCTTGGTTCTTCCGAAAGAACCAAGAAGATGAATCCCTGCAGTCACGAAAGCTTTAAATCGAAGGTGCTCTAGATGTCAATTAAATTGACCACCTGACATGTTTTTCCAATTAACATTAATTTCTAGATCTGAAGTTTTCGTGACTGCAGGGATCCATACTCTTTGGTTCTTTCGGTAAAGTCACGTAGGTATAAAATAATAATAAATACATTTTATTTTAAGCTGACTTAAAAAAGAGTATATGATACGTTTTAGAAAATTAAATGGGGGGGTGGGGGGGAGTCACAAGACATCTGGACCACCCTGTTACAGTACTGCACGTCCATGTTCCCCCCTAACCCCATAACTAGCCTGCACAGAGTGTGGTAAGGTCCCTTAGGGGCCGTCCATAAATGACGTCACGCACCTAAAGGGGTCAGACATTTGTGACGATGTGTGACGCGGGTGGGGGGGGGCTGAGAAATATGACGTCACATCAAAATGAGCAACTTTAAATAAATATAGAATTGTTATAACAATAATTGTTATAACAACACTCCTACAACATTAAATACGCACTACAATGACAATAGTTTAAAGTTATTTGAGGTATGTTTTATTTTCAAAATGGAAATGTTTTTTTTTTAGGGGGGGGGGGGCAGAGCTTTGTGACGTCATATTTGAGGGGGGGTCTGACTTTTTATGACGTCATGTGACTAGGGGGGGGGGTCAAAAAACGTCCAAATCACGTGACGTCATTTATGGACGTCCCCTTTAATGAAACAGTGGATTGTACATGAGGGGAAAAATATCTTGGTCGTCTGTCTACAGTGTCATTATAACTAAAATATTGTGTTGTATATTTTAAGTTATGCATTATTATTTACAGTACGTGTACTTTTGAAAGTTTTTTTTTATTCGTTTCAAAGTTTTCCCGCCACACCCACCCCCCAGTAACGCGCGCAGCCATTGGTTGACGCGTCGCGCGCTCGGCCAATCAGCGCCCTCGTTACCGGTGAAGAGTCGAGCCAAAACTTTGTGTAAAACAGAAAAGTTAATTTCGTCTTAAAATAACGACAGCAAAACTCAAACTTACGAATGAAGTAGAGACTTAAAGTGACACTTCACAAATGGCTCGGAATAAGGACAAATGGAGCTACGTACGTTGGTTAATTAAAACAAATATCGTGTGTGTGTTGTGAATAGGCCGCGATTTACATTGCAAACTTTTAAAATGATTATTTTAATTTAACGAAAGTATTATTTTAAACACGACCGCGCGATTGCCTACATGTTGTTTAATTCCGTTAAGTGCATGGAAACATTCCCCCATTTGCCTCTTATCTGTTGTGGCAGTAGTTGCGTTTTAAAGTCGACCGGCGTGGCTATTTAAACGGCGGTCGTAAAGTTTTGATGAAGGCGATTACGAGTTAATATTTGCCGGATTTTATTGTCAGCAGTGGTAATTAGTGTGAGTTTTGTGCCCACCGTATCAGTAAGTAACCGCTACCTTTGTTCTGTCAAGACGGGTTCAAAGTCTGAGCGGTCGTCGATTCAGCGCTCTGTGTGATGTTGATCATCATCATCGTCATCTGTTTTGGCAACAGAATCATCACTTCATAGGATCTCCTTTGCCAGTACCAAATTATAATAATAGGGTTTTCCCCTATTTTATGGGATAGTGCATTGCATTGCCTATGGGCTGTACGCCTTTTGGCGTCCTCTGGTCTAACACAGTTTGAGACGAGGCTCAAAAGAAAGCTGTCTCTGGTGTGTGGACCAATCAGTTTCAAGGACAATGCAAATATTATGTGTGTTTTTTGTTTGTATTCTGACCCACAAGCATTGTGGTTAATGTAGACATGCATTCTGATCACAAGCATTGCGGTTAATGCAGACATGATTCTTTGTAAAAGGTTTCAGTTTGGTGGTTTAACATCTTAACACCTGTTTTGTTGCCAGAAAAAAAGGGGAAAAACCTATTATCATATTTTGATACTGGCAAAGGAGATCCCATGATGTAGAATCTCACCCCGAGCTCTCATTACTCTGATAGTGCATTGTCTTTGAGCTGTACGCCTTTTGGCGTCCTCTGGTCTTACACCGTTTGAGACGAGGCTCAAAAGAAAGCTGTCTCTGGTGTGGACCACTCAGTTTCAAAGACAATGCATAGATTAATTATCAGAGTATGTTTTTTGTTTGCATTCTGACCATCAGCATTGTGGTTAATGCAGACATGATGCCTTGTAAAAGGTTTCAGTTTGCTGTTTTAACATCTTAACACCTATTCTTGGTTCTTTCGGTAAAGTCACGTAGAAGGGAAATAATAAAAGAACCAATAATATGAATCCCTGCAGTCACGAAAGCTTTAAATCGATATCTTAACACCTTTTTGTTGCCAGAAAATTTATTATCAGAATCATCACTTATTTCCAACATAACTCTCTCTGTCGTGAACTCATCCACCGTTACCATCGGTTACACCATCAGCAACCGCATCATCGTCATTATCTTCATCAACATTATTCGTCTGCACCGCTTGGATGGACAGATCATCGTCACAGTAATGAGGAATTTCCACCACTGGTGCAGGACCCGTGGTGGAACGCTCAATACTGTCACAATTATAAGGGACACTTTAACATAATCAGCAACAATAGCCATTGTCTATCCACTGCTAGATGAAGGTCCCCTACCCACACTGTCGCCACCCCCCCTCCCCCCCTTACTTACGGTCCAGTGCTGCTACCAACATTGCCACTTGCATAATTGCAGCGTTAAGTGTCACAGCGTTTAAAAATGTTCTCACAACGTCCTGGTGCTAATTACAGACTGCTGAAATATATTTCTTACTTGAAGCACATGTAACTTTATTTTTTTACTGCAGGAGTCTGATTATCAGTTTTAATTCACCACACAAACATTTGATTGCAACTGTAAAGCAGCCTCCATCGATTTCGCTCTTGTTCAGCAAATAGATCACATGAAACGTTGCCTCGCGGGTAACTGATGCAAGCCTTTTTTGGTCGTAAAACAGTGATAAGGCCAAAGTCACAATGGGCCCCATGCTACTATTTGAGGCAATTTGTCTTTGGCCAGGGATGGAGTTACCGCAGCATTTTCCTCCTGTGCCTACAAAGGGGAAAACGTGTCTAGCAATATGACAATCGTGAATATGGAGTGATGGGATTAATATCACTTGCAGGAGTTGTATGTATGTTAGCAGCACTGCCACTGTGAGGAATAGTGACGGCACAGGGAGGCCTTCATCCAGCAGTGGCTCGACAATGGCTTATGCTTATGACAAAGGCCAGGCGTATGGTAATTGATATCCATTTGTCGTTGCCATTTGGATGGTTGGCTGCAAACTTTGCCTTATATACGTGTGACGAGATTGCAATGGGATGCCAGAGAGAAAGTCCGTCACATACGGAGTGATGAAATCAGCTCATGTACATTGCGAAACCATGAAAAATGGCTTCGGCTTTGGGAGCGCTTCAATCAGCAGTGGATAGATCATGGCTGGTGATGATTTCCCATCACTGGGAAGAGGATTAGCACAATTTTTTTTAACGCTCGCCAATTTGCAGCCTCGCCCTGTGGTGTTCATTTCACTGTCGCATGAGTAATGATAATTAATCTCGAATTAGACCCTGGCTGGGATGTTTTGCTCGCAAGCTTGTGAAGATTACCCCAGTGCTGTAATGATATATTCCTGAGCGCCACAGTCTACTAAGTACAGTACTATATTGTTAATTTTACTACATTTTTAAAACAAAACCTTTGTATGAAACCAGAAAATAGCCCATTGAGATGTACTGTGTTTTTAAGTGAAACCTGGGAATATTGATTGTGCCAAAGCTATTGAGATGAAAATTACTGTTGCATGGTGAAATATGGTCAAATATCCTGCATGACCCACATGGTCTGAGAGGCCCTAATCCAACAGTGGATATACAAAAGCTGTACATGTACATTGGTTTATTAATTTGGGCTCACAGGCACACGATTACAAATATAGGAATGTCCTGCAGGAATTTTTGGGTGTTTGAGTGAATTGAATCTCTAATCTCACGGTGCAACATACATGATGCCTCACCAACTCTGTCCAAACTGATATAAGTGAATGCTGCACTGGCCATGACACATTTTAGTCGGCCCTCAAGCCATTCGTTCGCACATAATGGGAGCGCGGGGGTTTTTGTTTTGAATAATTGACGTTCGTGCTTTGTTCTGTTTGCCTCGCGTTTCCAGAGGCACATCGCAGCAGGGATGGTCCCGGCCGTTACCATAGCACCCAGGCCCGCGGTCCCTCTTACTCCACCTCCTCACACCCAAGAACCATCTCAAGAACATCCAAAGTGGGTATTACACATATCGATCAAGCACACTACCCTGTTATTTATGTGACTGGCAGGATGTTATCAGGCCGTTAATAGAGCAAGAACATCAATAGTGCACCTATGCTTTATTGTCATGGCACCGTATGTAGGTACATGCTCTGTATTCCTGTACTGGAAAGTGTAATCTTTTTTTTTTGCACTTAGTGCTTGAGGTTATGTACCATATAAGCAAACTAATCTTCAAATTCAAGGAGAAAACTAACCCTGTAAAACTCGCACGTATTGTGTTTGGAAATTTTTAATTCGATTTTCTTTTTACAATTTAAGAAAAGGAAATGTCACATTCGCGCAATTGCCAGTGAATAATTAAAAGAAAAATGTGCAGTCAACGATGTTGTCTGTCTCAGGCAATTAAATGCGGCGTGAAATAACGGAGTGACGGACACCTTATTTACGCATGAACGACATTGTAACTGCTTCCCTGCTACGTGAAGAGCTCGTGCGCCACTCATTCATGTCCTTTGCAGCAGTTGAATTGACAGTAGCAGCCCAAATTAGTCAGACCACTCAGAGTACACTGTGCGTGGAGGTGAGTGCATCCTCCAATGGAGCACGCGTTGATGCACCGATGAAGCACTTTCATCTATACGTGCTTGCAAAAGTGATATGTACAAACTGACGTGTGCACTCGTATGTAAACTACAAACTGGTGCCACCATGTATTGTAAATGGAGTGTATTTTGCTCTTGCAAAAAACATTTATTGATCAAATTGTGTAGCTTGGTTGACCTCAAGCCACGTTAAACTTTTCCCTCCACCACCCGCCCGTCACCTTTTACATTGGATTCAACACTGCAATTGTTTCACTAGGCAGCACAAAACTAATTGCAATTAAACTAATGAGAGAGTATAGCTCTTTGGCAATCCATTACTACATGAAGGCCTCCCCATGAGTCATTTTACCATACTTGACCACGATGGTCATTGCAGGATGGTGAAGGGGGTGAGTGGTGGAGGACCGGTTCAGATATCATCTCCACTGATGTAAGCTATGGCTGGAAATCACTTTCAGTTTGCCTGATTAATAACTCGGTGCATTAACCATTGCACAATTAAGATTAGCATAGTGCAGTGGTTAACGCACTGCACCATGCTAATCATCGTGATTAGCATGGTGAACATTTTTGGTAATTTATTTTGACCTTTGTTCAATAGTCATCGGTCATACATAGCTCATAATCAACACCATATACGTTCCTCTGCGATGAACATTTACATGGGTTACCGAGAGATTTACGGAAATATTATGTTTCATGTTAGGATACATACATTTTAACTTTTGGATGAAAACCATACGTTTTGCATTATTTTGTAAACCTTTTGAGAGAATCTAGTTTTTTTGCTGTCTCATCCTGTGTGATTTCAATTTCCAGTCGTTGGCAGTTGTGGAAACATTTCTAAAGGCTCTCCGTGTCACATTGCATGATCAGTGTTTCAATGAAAGTATTGTTGATTTGATTAAATTAACTTATCACTTTTGTGGGCTGCTTTCTGCAGGATTAAAATCCTATTGTTTGGTCTTCAGCTCACACCTGGTGTGAATTATAATTTATGTTCATGCAACATTGTTCAGATACATTACCTTGAAAATTACATTGTGATTGCAATTCATCACAAAGAACAAAATTGCGTTTGTTAATTTACCCCAGGTCTACTAGCTGCACTGCGAGACTGTGCAGCGCACTTCCCGCCTCGAACACAGACCTCTTGCACCCCGTTGTCATTGTGAAATGGTGACTTGATTTTTCAGGTCGGCGCTGGCGGCTGCGGTGCTGGTGAGCTCACTCGCTGGGCGTGTGCACGCCATCCCCACGCGGAACCTGCCCTTGTCGCGGCCCAGCTCCTTCTCTGTCTCTGACACGAACAGCTTTCGCTCCGGGATACTCGAATTGCACCATGAACGGTATATATCCCTCCCAGGCTGGTGGCTTGGGTCACAGATTTCACGGCAACTGCGGTTTCTGTTAAGAAGTAGGAGATAAAAAGGACTTCACCATCATTGTCATCATCCACTGCTGGATGAAGGGCTGTCCATTCAACCGCCACTTTTCAGGATTTTGCGATGTATTAAGACACCTAGCACCTGCACACGTACTGATTTAATCGCTCAGTTTTGTCAGTGGACATCCTCTCAGATGCAATGCATTCCTTACCTGCTACTCCGTTGTTATTCTTGACCATCGGTCATCATCCCTTTTAGCGATGTGCCCTGCTCAAGCCCACCTAATTTTCTTAATAGTTTGGATGATGTGATGTCTCTATCGTCATCAATAATCATTTATCAGCTGTGATCCATGTACTGCTGGATAAGGGTTTCCCAAAATCGTCGCCATCTCTCATGGTCTCGTGATGCAACAAGCCCTTTTGCTCCTGCATATGGGCGAGTCTCATCGATCCATCACTGACCCCAACCTTTATCAGTGTGCACTAACCAGCATGGTGAAGTAAGATCAAACAGTCTCCATCACTGACATGGCGTGGGGAGATCGTCACCCAGCAGTGTATGTATGTATGTGTGTTGAACTTCTTTCACGTTGTATGTAGCCAACCGTGCTAATCGGAGGTGCGGGGGAAGGACAACAAACTAAACACAAAAAGCAGTTCTAAAGAAATTCGTTTTCAATTTTCAGTGAATTGACAAAGGGCTGTAAATAATTAATTTTAACTGCTGTGTGATTCATGCTGCGTATCACGAGTTTGTCGCTTGTTAGTGACACAAAGCATATAAATTCAGTCTCTGTGCTCTGTGGGACATCACTGTCACATCATTATTTTTTTTCACATGATTTCACTGCAATTAAGTCATTGGAGAGCAACTAACGGTGATGTGAAAGTCTCATTAAAATTATGGAAGCTCTCAAACTAGTTATTGACAGGACGGATCGCCAAAACCCGACACGGTATTAGCCCACTGAGCTACCTGGACCTGCTTCCGCAATATTTATCTTGTATACTCTTGTTTTTTCCCATTTATTTTTAGTGCAAATGGAGGCGGCGATTGCATGGGGAATGGAAGGCTGCCCTTGGCAGAGGTGGCCTACGAACCCATGTACGAGTCCTGCACGGAGAGACATGACAGTGCGCACAGCTTAACAGAGGACGGATGCTCCAGTGATGTGCTGGGAGAGGACGAGGAGGAGGAAGAGGAGGGGGAAGAAGAGGAGCAAGCAGAATCGCTGACTTTCGGAAAAGACTATGAGCAAAAAACAAAATATGCCAGGGGGGATTGCGAGACTAAAAAGCCATATAGTTTATTGAAGACAAAAACAGTAGAGGTGAGCCACCACCAGATCGCGTTTATAACACTTGTAGCGCTTTTGTCGAATGGAACATAGCCAATGTTATTAGCTGGTTCAATAAAGCATGTGTTGGCTCTTAGAGGTGTGGAGAAGTGACATAAGATCAGGGCTATAAATCACAAGTTTAATTAACATGGACCCAGACGGTTTAGGCTGTTAGCAGTCTAGTTCTGTAGCTTCTGTGGTGCAGTGCTTACGTAATGGCAAATATGAGTGTTGCTAATAGGGTCTCTCAAGTGCAATTACTCTTGTGCGAATTGCATTAATTAAAATCCATTGGCCATATGATTAAAGACAAAACCACGGCCGATGTGACAGCAACACGTATTAATGACTGCTTTTTTGGTATGCACCGAAATTAATCTTGGCCTATTTATGGCATTGCACCTCAGAGAAAATAGCTTATAGGTCAACTGAATGTGAATTAGGTGCCGAATGTCTTACCAACACTGTTGTGACTGACCCGCTTTTCCTATTTGCGTTTGGCACGGGTCAAGGGCGCGCCTCTTGGAGAGAGCAGCGACCTCACGGATGTGACGTCGTTGGACGAAACCGCGCGGCTGTCCTCCCCTCGGCCCCCAAAGCTGTGTACGCCTTCAGGTAACGTCCACCGCCTGGCGCTGGCATCGCACACTGCCCGTCAAGGCACGCCGCCGTACCCTTCCGAAGCCCCGAGCCGCTTTTGTGTTGTCTTAATGGAATTGGTGGATCTTCCTCTCGTTTAGATGCAGAGTGGAGTCGCCTGGGAAGAAGGCCCAAGGTAACTCGAAGTAATGCGCTAAACGAGCATCTGGCTTGGGTGAAGTGCAACTTTTGAATGGCAGAGCGCTAAACCGTGTCGCTTTTGCGATAGAAATCCTCTCGGTGCCTTATGTTTTACTTTAATCAATAAATAGAAAGGCTCTGACAAGTGGCCTCCCATGTCCCTTTGAAGAGTCCATTAGCAAGAGAAGTGCTTCACAGTAGGCGTACTTGGTTATTTAAATCCTATCCTGCACTGCTGTGTTGGAGCCATTTGGCAATAAGCTTTACTTTCATATAAATGAGTTTATTGTTCCATAAAATGTTTATAAGCTTGCCTTACGCAACTGGTGTCATTGTTCGAGTAAATTAATTTTTTTGATGGTACTACTTGATATTTCTGCTATCACAGTATGTGATGCAAATATCTAAAAAAAAATGTTTATTTGTTTTTGGAGATTTTTTCAGGAGAGGATAAAGAGGCTGTCTGCTTGTCAGTGTCAAACAGACCAATGCCTCATTTCAGTAAGTACTCATATTTTTACAAAGCAAATTCTCCGAATCTTGACTTAAAGCTTTCGTGACTGCAGGTATTCATATTCTTGGGTGTTTTGGTAAAATCACGTAGATAGGTTCAAAGAAAATAATAAAAAATAACAGAAAACTACGACGTTTCGATCGCAACGCAAGCGGTCGTCTTCAGAAAAAAGACTGCCTGCGTTGCGATCGAAACGTGGTAGTTTCCTGTTATTTTGTATTATTTTCTTTGAACCTATCCACGTGACTTTACCGAAAGACCCAAGAATATAAATTCTCTGAAGTTGCAATACCATTTTTTACAGACCATTACAGTCATTTTTGTTAAAATAGCATGTGAATACATTTTTTTAAAATCAATTCACAGGTCAGAGTTCAAACAGAGAGAGGATGCCTGCCTCTAGAAGCCAGTCGTTGAGGGTCAAGGGAGAAAAATCGACCGATCAGGGTACGCTTCTTACAAAGTGCAATTCAACACCACTTTTGGGGGCCATTGCAAGCTAATGGGGGGGGGGGGGGGGATAACACCCGGCTGTTTTGCTTTTACAGTTATTTTTTGTTCACCGAATATCGATTGGCAGTGCTTACACACCCCACAGCGAGCAAGCGGAACCCCACGCTGGCGATGTTCAATGAGCTGAAGTCGCGGCTCGACGTGCTCGCGGCCGAAAACCGATCACTCACCAGGCAGCTGCGGGTGGCCGGCGACCATAACCAGTCCCTGGCGGCGCACAATGGCACGCTGTTGAGCGAGAACCAGTCGCTGGCGCGGGAACGACAGCAGGAGCAAACAGGTGCGACTTCCCGTAGACACCGCTGTGGGGTTTGGCGAGCGTGCAAGAGGTTGCGCGCAAATTCGGGCTTCTGCTGCAGCTCCAAAAAGGACACTAGGTGGCAGCATCTGTATAAAGTATATAAAAATAAATATGTTGAATTGCAGCGTCTCTGCTGTGATATTCTTAAAGACTGTCATGGGGCAGCGTTCATATATTTTGTTTAGAGGTTTGAGTGACTGTTGAGACCTTTCAGTTACGTCACACCTGCCAAAATGTTTTTTTCAGTTGGCAGCTTTTGATCGATAAGGTCAACACTTGATGTTGTTACTCGAAAAAAAAAACACGCCTCGACGAATTTTTTTCTTTTCATTTCAGTCTTTTTTTCCCCGCCGCTTTCTGCCGTTGAATGACATGCTGCGCGCAGATGAGCTGGCGGAGCTGAGACGCGAAGCCCAGGAGTTGGTGGACGAGAACGACGAGCTCAAGGCAACAATCCACCGTCTGAGCACGGAGCTGAGTCGAATGCAAGCTGAACGGGGGCCGAGGCTCAGAAATAAGGTTATTTTTTCGCAGCATTCGGCATTAAGCCTGTCATTTGCCACTAATGAAAGTCAGATTTTTTTTTTCTCTTAATTAAAGAATGTACAACATTTTATTCCCTTGCGGCACCACCTTTTTTTAATTGAGTAAATCCACTGCCTAATGAAGGCCTCCGGGCACCGTGTCTGTCATAGGAGTTATTTTTATCGAACAACCATGTCACTCAGTGCGTGTTGATGGGGCACTCATCCAGGACCAGGTCAGATATCACTCGCCGCTGATGTAGCCAGGGCTGGGAATTAAACTCAGGTCGCCGGGTTCGTAGTGCAACACACAAACCACTGCGTCACCGCTCCACCCCTTTTATTCGGTACAGATTACAGAAATTTGTTATTGTGTAGGGAATTGGTTCACTGCGTACACTTCATCAAAACACTTTTCTTTTTAAAGTTCGTAACAAACCGGTGCAGTGTGCATGGTCCGAATGTTGAAAAGGGCATTAGAGAAGCATTGACAAGTTTCATGCAATTGAAGACATTTTTTCAAAAGCTAGACCTTAACTTTCCTGCATAAAACTTGTGCGTAATTGGACATAGACTGAGGCTGGTAAATTCACACCTAGATTTGAAGCTTTCGTGACTGCAAGGATTCATACACGTAGGTTAAAAGAAAACAAATAAATTCAATCACGACGTTTCGGAGGCAACACAGGCTTCCGTCTTCAGGTGACACCGTCACAGCAAAATTGCTGTTTTCTTTTAACCTACGTGATTTTACCGAAAAAAACAAAGAGTAAAAATTCACACCTGGTTGGGTAAGGTTTTTAAGGCAGAGACTCTCAAGGTTTTACGTCTAATTTATTGTTGTGTCTATTGGCCCAGCATGAATTTTTTTTTTACAACAAACCACAAATTGATCCTGACTTTGGCATGGGCAGAACAAAACAATTTTTGCTCATACGTCAATGAATGTCGTCTTCGCTAAGTCACGTTATTGTCAATACTTATTGTCATATTGTAATCTAAATGAAGGGCACCTTTAGAGGAGAAGCATTCCCCTACATTTCTTAAGAATGCTGGGGCTGTTATACCAATCCGCCTAGGCCCAGATCACAGGAATATTCGTCTGCGGACACAGAACAATCATGCGGTTCACAGGAGACTTTGCTGTTACCTGATCGATAATCTTTCACTCACAGTACACGCAATTGAAAATGAGCGAGCTAACACCTCAATGCGCTGTTCAAAAAAGGGTGAAGTTGCAACCACCTGCGATTGGTTGCTCAAGCCACTACTGCCGGAAGGTCCGACAAATTGAATGGAGCTCTAGAGAGCTTATTCAGTGAGGAAATTTTGGCCTACTCTTCCATGCTGGCCAGATGCATCAGAACAGTTGAGAGTAAACACGCTTTGTCTCCCACGACACGCGAACTGCCGATCGACGAACTGTGTTGTCGAAGTTTATACTCCTCAGTGGACAGAGGCAGTGACTTGTTAAAGAACTTTCACATTTTGATTTAAAGCTTTCGTGACTGCAGGGATTCATATTCTTAATTCTTTCGGTAAAGTCACGTAGAATGGAAATAATAAAATAATATTAATATAAAACAATTAAATTCTCACGACGTTTCGACTGCAACGCAAGCCATCATCATCAGGTGTGAAATCCACAACATGATGATTGCTTGTGTTGCAGTCGAAACGTCGTGAGAATTTTTATTCTTTTATATTCATATTATTTTATTTTTTCTCTTCTACGTGACTTTACCGAAAGAACCAAGAATATAACTTTCACATTGTTTCAGCTTTCGACTGCTGCTCCAGAGATTAAACTGTTGATATCTGTATTCCAAACTGGTACACTAAGGCAGCCTCCCTCATTACATTATTCGACCATGAATACAAAAAATACATTGCAGGTCACTGTGTACACACAGGTCCCAGTCATTTGTAAATGATTGCTTCTACAATTGAGGCTAACTGGAGATGAGAATGGAGTTGGACACAGGCCCTCTTCACTTGCATCTGTTGGCCAAACACGCCTTGGGGAATTGAGAAAAATCATGACGGATCGCTCACATAGCCCACGGCTGAGCTTGTGTCTGCCTCTGCATACCGACATTCAATTAGCTCTAGGAGGGCTGCTTTACAGATCGTTAAACGCCGTATTAAATAAGGTGGATTAGTGTACCCATATGATTGTGTTGTCAAAAGAATTGGCTATTGAAATTGACACTGCAGTATAACTTCTTAATTTCATACATATGCAATGGCTATAGAGAGGGTGTCACAGTTTCTAACTTTGAACTAAAATGTCCTGATCTCGTTTGCCAGTACCAAAATGTGATAATAGGGTTTTCCCCTTCTTTCTTGCAACAAAACAGGTGTTAAGATGTTAAAACACCAAACTGAAACCTTTTACAAGGAATCATGTCTGCATTAACCACAATACTTGTGGTCAGAATGCAAACATAAAACATACTCTGGAGATCCCATGATGTAGATGCTCACCCCGAGCTATCATTATTCTGATAGTGCATTGTCTTTGTGCTGTACGCCTTTTGGCGTCCTCTGGTCTAACACCGTTTTGAGACTAGGCTCAAAAGAAAGCTGTCTCTGGTGTGGACCACTCAGTTTCAAAGACAATGCATATATTATCAGAGTATGTTTTTTGTTTGCATTCTGACCACAAGTTTGCATTATGGTCCTAACCAAGGACTAAAATTCCTTTAGGTGATCCGGAATTTTCTTTAACCATCGACAATGATTAAGCTACTGCTGGATGAAGCGCTCCCAAAGTTGTCGCCATCCTTTATGGTCCTGCATGGCAAAAATCTATTAGAGAAAATACGCAAGTTAAAAGGCATCATATTGACTGCTAACGAAACTAACTGGGCTTGGGTGGGACACGTCGCAAGAAGTAAACATGCCAGGTGGATGAGACTAACGACAGAGTGGAAGGCAAAGGAGGGAAAACATGCCCAATAGGATATCTGATGCAGCATTAGTGTTATCCTCAAGCCTACCTTTGTTTCACAGGTATATTAATGACGTGAATTATGTGTGTGTAAGAAATACTCCATAGCTATGCATTGTGGCTTTGCAGAGATAGATGACCTTTATTTAAGATAGGTGAGAGCCCATTGAGTTGAATAATTTATTTTTGAAGGTAGACAAATATACAAAGAGACAGTATGTGTACAAATATTGATTGGTGTGTTAATGAGCACACATGCTTATTTTGATTGCATAATTGGGAGCAGTGATTGAACAAAACTAATGCTGATGTAGCAGTTGTCACGGTGTTAACAAAAGCATGATGTGATACCAATCCTTAGGCTGCATTGCCACACATTTCACCATGATGCAATGAAAATATTACATCGTAGGAACGTCAAATATGGCGATGGCTTTGGAGCCTTTCATCCAGCAGTGGATTGATTATGGCTGATGATGACGATGACAAGTGAAAGGTTTTTGATTCCTCTTCATTGGTAGTTGTGTTTGACCTCTGCGGTCGTTCAAACACGAGTGAATACTTTGCCCTGCAGAGAATTTGTCTGATATGCGGGGGAGTTGCAGATGTTAAGTTTTTCTAGTTTGTTCAAAGGTGATTGTGTCACTAAATAATGACCCAATTAAGAAGATGCTGCCCCCTCCGGGAAGTGCTTAAGCTTAGAAGCGAATAAAATTTCGTCATATGCAGTCTGTTAATTAGGTGTCCTGCTTCACGTTGTTTCGTCTATCAATCATCAATCAATCATTATTTTGCGTGCTAATATCGCCCTCAATAAAGCAGGCATCAGTGCACATTACAACGGAATGGGAAAACGCTACGGGGGGAGGGGGCAGACAGCAACAAGAATAGACAAAAAGAAACCCGTCCCACCCTCAGCGGCTAACACGGACGGCTAAGACCATCTGGTGTGGGGGGAGTTCATCCTCACTCGTTTATCTGTTTTATTGGCTTGATTTAGCTGCACAGCTCAGCTCACCGCCCACACCTTGCTTTATCATGAGACACGCACACACAGACCTAAGCCCGCAAGGTTTTACCGCAGGATTGAAATATATATTTAGTATATGTATTTTTTGGGTGGGGAATGCAGTGGCGCAGTGGTTAGTGCATTCAGCTTTTAACCCAGCGACCAGAGTTTGATTCACGGCTATGGCTAAGATCATTGGCAAGTGGTATCTGAACCGGTTCTTCATCACTGACCAGTGTGGCGATGAATGGTCAAACAACTGCCGTGACTGACGGCACTGGGAGGCCTTTATTTATCCAGTTTAAAAATACATTGTATAGCTTCCAGTGCATTATAGTACATGATACATTTTGGATTGTATATTTTATTAAAAGTTTTTTAAGTGTGTGATTTTTATTTATTTTCTTTTTTTCTTGAAGGGTACACAAACTGGAGTCATTCCCATGTCCGGCTCAACTCCACCTTTGTCGGTAAGGATGGCATTGTGTTGCGAGCTCGGTGTGAAATCTTTAACGAAATTATGTTTTTCATTGATAAAATTTCCTAACTTTTAATTGCAACCTTTTTATATAGTCCTGCTCTTTTCTGTAATATTTATTATTTTGGCACCGTTGCATGATTGCTTCAAAGTGTCGTATAATTTTAGTACCCTTTTTATGACTTATTCATAGTAAATAAACATTTTCTTGAGTAAAGATGTAGGTTTACTTACTGTAGAATACTGTAACAGAGCACATTATGCAAGTTTCTACAATTGTCAACTTTTTGAAAGCAATTATATTCTAGTTGTGCTATCAGCGTCATATCATCAAACAATACATGCATATTTGAAACTCTTACAGCACGCAGTATATCAGCCTGCATTAGAGAGTGGCCTACGAAGATGGCACCACTGTACTTATTATGAAGTTACTTCAATAGGTATCTCTGTCCACACTAGAGTCATACCAGTCACATGCCCCACACAGATTGCATATCACATGTTCAATTATTAGAACTTTCATAGCTGGATTAAATAAAATTAAGTGAATACATTAATTTAATGTGATGGATATTTTTGCATGCAGTCGATGGTGGCTGGGCCAAGAACACTAAATTTGCAAGACTTGAATACACGGTTTGATTGTGGGTGGCTGAAACCCAGGGTGCAGAATTCACTGAGATCAAATCTGACCAGTGGGTTTTATTTTTTAAACAGCGAAACATATGATTCCACGAACATTATCAGTTTATTTCATCATGGGACCTCCTTTGGCAGTACCAAAATATGAGAATAGGTTTTTCCCCTTTTTTCTGGCAACAAAACAGATGTGAAATAGTTAAAACACCAAACTGAAACCTTTTACAAGGAATCATGTCTGCATTAACCACAATACTTGTGGTCAAAATGCAAACAAAAAACATACTTTGGAGATCCCATGATGTAGATGCTCACCCCGAGCTCTCATTACTCTGTTAGTGCATTGTCTATGGGCTGTACGCCTTTTGGCGTCCTCCGGTCTAACACCGTTTTGGGACTAGGCTCAAAAGAAAGCTGCCTCTGGTGTGGACCAATCGGTTTCAAAGACAATGCATATTTTATATTTTTATTATTGTATTACTTCCCTTCTACGTGACTTTACCGAAAGAACCAAGAATATGAATCCCTGCAGTCATGAAAGCTTTAAATCTAAATTTAATGCATATATTATCAGAGTATGTTTTTTGTTTGCATTCTGACCACAAGCATTGTGGTTAATGCAGACATGATTCCTTGTAAAAGGTTTTAGTTTAGTGTTTTAACATCGTAACACCTGTTTTGTTGCCAGAAAAAAGGGGAAAACCTATTCTCAATCAGTTTATTGTTTAGTGACAAAAGAGGCCACAGCAGTAACCAGAGTGACCCATCCTCCCACGCACACGCATTCATTTGCATCGTAAAGGTCAGCCTGTGTATAGTACCCGCATCATTGCAGGCGAAGCCTCTCTCCGTTTTCGATGGAAGTTTTTTTCCCCATTTTTTTGTTGCACACCACTCACATATTTTCTTATTTTATATGTATTAAGCGCATTTATTCAAGGTGCTTAACATTGTTTTAAAAACAGTATGAACAAGAATGATTTTAATGTCAGGAGCAAGCAAGGGATGAGGAATAGGTAATCACGATAGAGGGTACATATTGGGGGGATGACCTTTACGTACCCACACTATACCTCACCACGGAGGTTTCTTCCACAATGATCGGGAATCGATTCTAGTTCCTCCTGTTTAAGAGAATCAGTGTTTTAGGTTCATAGCCATGATATATTTGCATGCTCTTTAGACACCTCAAGTACATTTAGGGCCACTGGTTGGCTCAGGAGTCTAGTGCTTTGTGTCAGCAGTGACCGAGTGTCTCTGAGTTGCTCAGATGAAGTGCCAAAGCGCAAGCAGATGACACATTATCTGTCTCTCTGCCTCTTTAGGGATTCTCACGTGAGATGTCTTGGTTCAGTCACATATGACCACGTGCACAATGAGTGACACGTGCGTGCACCCACTGTCCTCGTCTCAGAGGTTGCACCATCCATAATTCACAAAGATTTAGTTTGAAGAGTATATAAACAACAACTGATGGTGGTGTGAGAGCAAGAATGATAGGGCTGGTGTGAAATATGTGGGGGTACGCTCAGCGAGGCATGATTTATGAAAAATACCATATTGATAGAGATTCATGGGCAGGTGCTGTAATGTTTGCATTCTGAACACAAGCATTGTGGTTAATGCAGACATGATTCCTTGTAAAAGGTTTCAGTTTGGTGTTTTAACATCTAAATATTGATTTAAAGCTTTCGTGACTGCAGGGATTCATATTCTTGGTTCTTTCGGTAAAGTCACGTCGTGAGAATTGTATTGTTTTATATTTTTATTATTTTATTGTTTCCCTTCTACCTGACTTTACCGAAAGAACCAAGAATATGAATATCTTAACACCTGTTTTTTGCCAGAAAAAAGGGGAAACCTATTATCTCTGTTATCCGATTATTTGTGTCATAGAACCGATAATTATCGTTAAAGCAATTGATTACCTAAATGGTCGATTGCCCAGCTCTAGTTATTTTTTTGGAAATACCGTACGTCTTTTCTTTAAAAATAAAAGTCAAGTCAATTTATTTGGCTTTACACGTGGTGCCTTTCTGGCACAAATCTGCCACACAAAGCGCCATCACATAAATACACCCTTAAACATGAAAATAATAAATTCTATACGGTGAGAGAAACCAAGTATACTCTTTATATTTGTTTATAACTTAATTTTAATTGCTTAATTACGTGAATGATTGGCAGAGGTCGGCCAGAGGAGATGTGGTGACGTAAAAATAAAAGCAAGTTGTGGCAATGAGTTAGTTGTAGGCAAACATATAGAGATGTGTGTTTTGTTGTGACTTGAATGTTGTGATAGAGTTTGTTCCAGAGGTGTGGTGTTTGGTTTTTGGTGGTTGGGGGTTGTTTAGGTTGAGGAGCGAGGTGATCTATTTTCTTGCTTTATCTGCATGAGGTTTCTGATGTAAGGGGCAACTTGGTTTGTGTATTGCTTTACATGGTAATAGGCTGATTTTGAAGTGTTTTAATTGGTAGCCAGTGTACGTTTGTTATAGTTTATTTAATGTTCGATGATTACTGTAGATTGGTAACGAGGCAAGCAACATTATTCAGATTCCACGTGTAAAGGAAATCCAGAAAAATATGTTAATCTGACTGTATCTAGCTGTCCGTCAAAGACTGATTTGAACTTTAATATGCACCTTTTGGTTGGCATGAATGTTGATTCAAGGATCTAATTAACGAAACCTTTTGACTTGTGATATACACGTTTATAAAGAACTAGATCTCTTGAGAAGGATGCGTGGTAATGACGTGTCATTTGTTAAACAACACATGTAATGGAACACATTCGCCGTTGCGAAAGCACATTACTTCAGGGCGTTAAATTATGCCAAAGCATTTCTTGCCATTTGCTGTTCTGTCTTGAGCAACGTGTCACCTTGTCATTTACTTCCCTGTGCCTACTTGTGTTCACAGACAGACACGCGCCGCCTCTCTCCCCTGCTGGCAGCCTACGAGGAGAGACTCGTCGAGAAAGATGACATAGTACGCGAGTGCAAGGTAAAATGGCGATTCCTTCAGCTGCATTTTTATCTATTTATTTATTTATTCATTCGCGGGCACAGATGTTGGGACCTGCGAAACGCGTCGCTGTGGGTCGGAGCGGTGACGGTGCTGTCATTAATAAAAGCGCCAGGAAATCATCCAAATTAATTCCCACGATCCCCATTGTTTTCCTCTTGCACTCCTGCTTGGCTGTGTTCAGCGGGTAATGCAGGCGCTTGGTAGGAAGCCAAGCACAACATAAAATTAATGTTCTTCCCCACCTAACGTGACTGCAATTATTTCCTCAAGTGTCTCTTCTGCAAACGCTGAATTTCCTTCCCCTCTGCGATCTCGTGTATTTATTTTCTTGCAATTACATTTATGCTTTGCATCATTCATTAATGTTATTCCCCTTTTATTTACATTTTAATTTTAGAAATGGAGCAAAGAGTTGCAATTCAATTTCCGGCCGAATACAAATCCTGGAATAAGTAGGATTTTGCAAATTAAATGTACAATTGCTTTATACAAATTGCACAGGCAGCTGAGAAATTTTACATTATCAAAATTTCTCATTTTCGATGCGGGGCTGCGTCTTTTTCTTTCTGTTTTGCCCTGACCTTTTCATTTTGTTAATTTTTCATTTTAATTCTGTTTACCACCGTTGGCCATCAGTTTGGTGCATCTGTCAATGCAGTCCTGTTGGGTTGAGTATTCCCCTAATGTCTATTGAGCTATGGCTATGTCAGGCTTTCGATTAGGTTGGATTGTTTTTGGAACAATCTGTGTGCAGTCAGTGGCTTAGGAGCAATTGATTTTTCTGGAGAAAATATATATAATTTTCCCATCCTAAGCCGCTTTCAATTGATTTATGTACAACGCATGGCATGCTTGCTAAAGCGTTTCACTTTTCCAGCCTTCATTTATTATTCATTGTGGGGATTCATCGACCTCCATCTACATGTTTAATTGCTTTTCAATTATATTAGTGGAACGGTTTGAGCTAGGACGCAGTTTAGCACAAGCGGTGCGTGCAGACGTACATCATAACCCTTTGACGTTGGCCATTATTCTTCAGCATCATGAGTGCCCTTTGCACATGCTCTCCCCAAATCCACTTCAATGCAGTGCTGAATTAACTGCAAGTGATCATTGAACAAAAAGAAGTAGCAGAATAATAAATGAAAAGTACTTGGTAAATTGTAATCATTTACAGTGTGAGTTGGTAAATGCAGAGAGCTCAGGACTGGTTTAGATATGAGTCACCATTGATGTTATCCTTAATTGGGAATCAAACTGAAGTTATCCGGTTTAGAGCACAGTACAATAAGCACTGCAAACACTGCTCCCAAAATAATAATAATAATGCCCCTTTATTTTTTTAGGAAAGCCTCACTGAGTCCCAAGACTATTTTTGAGGGGGGTCCTTCATTAAACTTTGGCCAATTTAATTAATGAGTGTTGAGCATCAGGAGAGGAAAACGGAGTACAGTAGACTCTCGATTAATTATCCACGCCAATGACAGGGATGACGGCCGTGGATAATTCAAAATTGCGGTTAATTCAAAAATATAAATTTTCCGCGGATCTCTATGTCAAAAACCACGAATATTGGTATAAATTACCGATCGATGCGCGTCCTCAATGATAACAATTTCCTGCTTCCGCGCCGAAGACTCCGCCCACTAAGTGGATAGCCGAGCCACGGCAATACAAATAATTAAAATTCCACCAACTTTTGTAAAGGAATGCAACTACTCTACTATAGAGACGATCAGGGGGATTTCGGATTAACCGTAGCACATATTTGTTCGGTTTAAGCATGTGACTTGTAATAAACATTTCCAAGAATAACAATGTATAACTGTTTTTTAGATTATTAATTTGAAGTTAAGGGAAAATCCATGAGTTATTAATTTATGTCAATATCCCAGGTGCGTGGTTAATCCACAAATTGGATAAACCGCACACAGATAATTAATCAAGTCTACTGAACTTGGATAAAAACCCACCCATAAGAGGGAGTCACATTCGAAACTCCACACAGAGGGCTTTAAGAATAAATTTGCAGTGCTGACATATTCGGGCCACCTTGCAGCCCAGCACATTTTAGATGTTACGCAAATACGCATGCTCCATTAACCCTCGCCTCATAAGCACTGGATCGCAGGCGTCCGCTACCCCTCCTAATCAATATTACAACTTAAACATTTCACTTATGTCCTAAATGTGAAGGAAGCTGCAATGCCAAAGACAAATTGCTGCATGTTTTCTTCTGTTACCAAAGCAAAATTGATTCCTTGCAGTGCAGCACTGTAAATCTTCTACCCTAACTCAAAAAAACACTGTTCTTTTGTCTCCAAAAACAACTGTCTAACCAGCTGCTGGATTGATCAACTGTTGTCAGGTCAGTTATTACTGATCAGCTGTTGTCAGATCAGTTGTTGTCAGATCATCTCTTGTTCATCAGCTGTTGTTGAATCAGCTGTTTTGAGATCCCATTTTGTCAGATAAGCCGTCGTGGGATCAGCAGTTGCTGACTGAGAACAGTCAATTTATCTTGTTAAATTTGCATGCTGCCTTGCAGTGGCCTTCCCCAATGCACCACGTCGTGTTGTATAGTGGTAGTGCTGGCTCCCACGATGCACTATGTGTCTTGATAGACATGATAGGGTATGACAGTCTTCATTAGAACCTTTTTTGCCAGTAGCAAAATATGGTCATTGTTTTTTACCCTTTTATCTGGCAATAAAACATGACACCTTTTTTACAAGGAGTCCTGTTTGCATTGACCACAATACCTGCGGTTGGAATGCAAACAAAAAAAACGTGCGCCTTTTGGCGTCATCTGGTCCAATACCATGTGAGACTAGGCTCTAAGAAAAGCTGTCTCGGGTGTGGACCAATCAATTTCAAGGACAGTGCATGCATTATCAGAGTTGTGTTTTTTTGTTTGCATTTCGACCGCAGGTATTGTGGTCAATGCAAACATGACTCCTTGTAAAAAAGGTGTCCGTTTTGAAATAATTTGTTATTGTGTGAATCACTGAAACAGCAGCAACCGTTTAATACTGTTAATTTGTGGGGCACATGTTGATGTGTCACAGGTCATTATTATTAATTGGACTCACCGGGTGTAGCCAGTAACTTTAAGTGGAATACAGTACATTATTTCACAGCCACACCTGCTCTGGATGATCTCAAAGACTTGTGGTGGATCAGTCGGTCTCGTGGTCGACGGATTATCAAGCCAGCTGAATTCTGTCTCAATGCTCAGACACTGCAGGTATTGTGGTCAATGCAAACATGACTCCTTGTAAAAAAAGTGTCAGTTTTGCTGCCAGATAAAAGGGTAAAAAAAACAGTTATCATTATTATATGGCAGTCTTAGCACAGCAAATTTATTGGAGCACGCCCAGTATAGGGGCGTGCCTAAGAATGTCACTACAGAAATACTTTAAACTCGTTGCTCATTAATGAAGCTTGACGCCAACGTCAGATAGCGTGCAGGACACACAACCTCGGTCATGTAGTTTGCAAAATAAATGGTACTTTGTTGTGTCTTCTTTTAATTGCCTTGTATTTCGCCAAAGGAGGAAAATTATGCTTTTTTCATCCAGATTTGGTTGAGCGGATATGTTCGTAGGGATGTTGGCTTCATATTTCCAACATCGGCTCGGGCTTAGCCGTCTTATTTGATCATCATCATCAGTCAGGAGCAATCCGTTATGAGGTGAAGGCGTCCCCAATCTATGACATATCTCACAGGCCCGTCAGGTAGCCATTCATCTAGCATCTCTGCATCTCCTACGGTGAACGTCCTTTCAGGCGTGTTCCGTTATTTTTCTGTTACTTCAAAGTTAGTCGCGATCACGGCCTATGATCCCTTACAGCGATCTGTCCTGTACAATCCCACTTAGCATTCACGTAACGGTCGTGTTTGTAAGGAGGTTATTTGAATGAACAGTCCGCGTGCTGCGCGTTTTACGCGGGGTGTGTGTGTATGTGGCAGCTTGAGGTGCACGTTAGCACAGCACACTTCTTCTGCTCGTGTACGTGAGCACTCGTTAAAGCTGCGGCATAGACAGCCGCTGTAGAATCTTCTTGGTTCTTTCGGTAAAGTCACGTAGAATGGAAATAATAAAATAATAAAAATTCAACATAATAAAATAATATAATTATAATAATAAAATAATTAAAATAAAACTAAATAAAATAATATAATTTTATTTTATTATGTTTTATTTTTATTATTGGAAATAATAAAAATAAAACATTTATTTTTATTATTGGAAATAATAAAAATCAAACAAAATAATATAATATTATTTTATTATGTTTTATTTTATTATTTCCAAAATAATATTATATTATTTTACTATGTTTTTATTATTTTTTATTATTTCCATTCTACGTGACTTTACCAAAAGAACCAAGAAGATGAATCCCTGCAGTCACGAAAGCTTTAAATCGAAATTTAAAGCTGCTGCAGAAATTAACGGAAATGAGGTTTCATGCTGTATTGTTATCGCGGCGCTTTCGGTCCCAAGCTCGGATAATTGCAGCGACGAGGTTGTGTGGTCAAACGCAGCAGTTGCAATAATTGCGGTCGGTTCGCGTCCGACCTAATTTTGCCTCTTGCGCAGTAATTGAATACAGTTTGGGAGATGTGGCAATAAACACGATTCATCTCCGCAAAAGGAAAAGTCATCTCTGCACGTCTCGAGAGAATTCTCTTTTGTGCGACAAAACCTAAAATGATAATAATTAATTCTTGCCAAAGTGTCAGCATTAGTTCAAGCTTCATATCAGTTATCAAAAGTGTTTGCAAGTAGCTCTAAAACAATGAAGATTGCCAACGTATGTTTTTTTTTCTCTCTTTGCTTGCTATCAGTGCATTCACTCGCTATGCAAAATCGTTAAATTGGCTGCGTGACGCACCTCCAGCAAGTGGATAATGATGCCAGAATTAGTCTTAAGCCTGGCAACGTGGGTAGAATGTCCTCATCTAGAGA